ATTTGCATGCTAGAGCGACGGAAATGTATTCGCCATGCAGGATGGCAAGCCATTTTTACAGACGAGCTTGTCATGCAGGAATCTGCGGCCCGAGCGGAAATTGAAAGCATAAATGTCCAGTTGTCTGAGTACAATCACCGAATCCATATGCGTCAGCTTGACATTCCAGCATCTCCACCAGCTTCCTCTACTTCAGCAAGAGCAGCTCAACAGAACCTGGGCCCTGAGACGGTGGCTTTTTCGTAGTAAGAAGATTTTTTTTTCATAAATCAGTAGATCAGAAATAATAATAGTTAAAAAAAAAAAAATTAAGACTTGTTTGAAATGTACACAAAACAAAATATTATATATTCAATCCTCCTCCTCTGCTTCTGTCTCACCACCATCAAACATGGCCTCCGTTACCGCAGTCACGTGGTCAGCAGGCTTCCATACCTGCACAATATTGTCTTCGCAAGCCGATGCAACCACCCACGGCACTGTAGGGTGCCATGCCACGTCCGCAATCGGCGCTGTATGACCTCCGTGCATAAACAAAAGCTCCGGCGGTCCATCCTCCAAATCACCAGCAGCACCGTCTTCACTATCAACATCCACCCGTGCAAGGTCCCACAAAAGTACCCGCCGGTCAAGTCCGCCAGATGCAAGCACAGACTCATGATGCGGCGACCACCGCACTACAACCGCATCTCCACCAACATGCCCGTTTAGCGCAAACACCGGTTTGGGCTCTCCAAGCATTCGCATGTCCCAAACATGTACCTCACCGTCTGCACCCGCTGTCGCAAGCACGTACTCATTATGCGGGTTAAACGCAAGGCTGTTGACCGCACCGGAAATGTACTCGGGCTCAGGAGGAGGAGGTGGGGCTGGTGTAGCCACAGATGTCGAGGATCCACCCCGCTTTGAGCTTCCGGGCTCCGGCGTCAACTTGCCCGACGATCGCGATCCTCGGCCACCACCACTGCTGCTGCTACTGCTGGGCTTTTCATTTTCCGCAGAGGCTGCCGCAGACCCTCCAGCACTCACAGCATATACATGTGCATTAGCCACCCGTGCAACAGGATCCGCAATGCTTGTGCGTGTGTCCACAATGCACAAGCTCCCGTCCGCAGATGCCGTACCAAACACAGACGCAATATGAGGGTCCCATGCAACCGCTGTCACTGCAGCCGCGTGTAGCTGCTCCGCAACCGCTACCGGCTGCACCACTGGCACTGGTGTGTTGATTGAAACTGCCAACGTTTCTTCCTTGTCACCGTTTAACCCTATTCGTCGACGAATCGGCGGTACTGCTGGACTTGCATTCACGTCCCACAGAGCCACACTTCCGTCCGCAGCTCCAGATACCAGCGCGCTACCAGGTTTAGTGGCAGACCCAGTGGCCCAGTCTAGTGCGCTACCTGCCACAGAATGTCCACCTACAAGCACCAGCTGCGCTGCAGAGTCTGTGGCTGCAGGGTCTTTACCCACATTGTACACCACAATATCACCGTGCGTTGCAAAAGCCGCAAACTGTGCCGGGTTACGCGTATTAAGAGTGGCACCACCGGAGCTGGCCAGTGCTGCAAACGCTGGAGCAGGGTCTGTTGGGTTATAATGTCGGTATGCATGCTGGATACGAAACTTGCGAGCGGCCGTAGCTGCATCTGCCGACAGCGGAGCTGCATTGGTTGTGTTGAATGCGACTGACGACAAAACACCCGTGAGCTTGGCGTGTGCAGGCACTATTGGTGGCCGTGAAAATGGACCTGTCGGCAAGTCAAGCTCTGCAAAAACAAGACGTTCCACGGGGCCGTGAGTTCCTAGAAACAATCGATGGGTCGAGTACCTGGCTTGTGCGTTGAGCGGCTCGTCAGCCTTGGGGAGCCATTGGACAAAGGGAGAGGGTGACTCGAGAGCGTTAGCCGAAAAGAAGTCGTAAAGAAAGGGCACATTTTTTTTCCAGATTTTGTATTCTATAAAGATTAGTAGAGTAGAATGAATAGACAGTTTTAAGATTCCACTTACCTTCATTGATGATGCGTTGGTTAAGACGCGTTTCTTGTTCCAGCGCGCTTTTGTCGGGCACTATGTTTCGGGTTAGTCTCTAAAGAAACAAGTTGGACATCGGTCTACGTACTCGAGACATCTTTGTCAGCGGGCTTTTCCTGGGCCTTCATGGCCAGAAGCTTTGCTAGCAGGTCGTCGGAAGTGCCCATTTGTGCGATGGAGGGGTTTTTGTATTCAGTTGGAGATTGGAGATGTTGAAGAAAGGGGAGAAGGGAAGAAACCAAAAAAAAAAAAAAAAAAAAAGTTTTGGAGGTGAAATTTTTACAAGACAAAAACGCGTATGGAAGGTAGGGTAACTACAAGTATTCAAATATTCAAATATTCAAATATTTAGCTATCTAAATATTCAACTATTAAACTATTCAAATATCCAAATATCAAAGTATTCAAATAGTCAACTATTCAAAGCTCGGAAAATAAATCGTCTTGCAACTGTTAAAAAAAAGTTAGAAATAAATCAAAAAAAATCATTTAAAAAAAAAAAAATTAAAAATAAACTCACCTTGGCTGGCCCTGATAACTGCTTCCACATATCCACGCATACCGGTACCCATAATCATCTGTTTCGTCCTCCCCACGAATCGTCCTCAAAATCATTGGGTTCTTGCACTCACAAATTGGGTTCTTCTCCATCGCAAACTCTTCCCGATAGTCTCTATAAGTAATATTGATCCGCACAGACCCAGCCACCGCATGGGGTGCCAGCACCCCACGCGCTGCCGGCGCAAGAGTGTGCTTGTACTGCTCCTGGCACCCAGCGTGCATGATAATCAACGAGTTGTGTGGCACGTGAACGGACGCAACTGCAGATTCCAGCACACCGTACTTGGCTGCTGCTGGGTATTGTCGCCGCCGCAATCGGAACTCGCGGGTGACCCCGAGCGACACGCTTGCAATCACACACGCAGGGCCTAGGTGTGTCAGTTGGTCCGAATGGTATCCTACAGACGATCTGGGGCCCTCGTATCTATTGCAAACTGCTGCATTAGATCTCCACCGGTTTCGGGATTGATACTTTATGTGTCCACGGCGTTCGATCTCTCTGTTGACAGTCTCCTCCACAATCTGTCGCGCCGCATCCATATCTTTGGAAAACATAAACGAAGATGTTAACACCTTACCGTTATACGTGTGTTTTGTCTGGTGGCCATCCTTTTCGCCCGAGTAAAATGCAGATTGGTGCGCAGACTCGCATGCTCGGTCAAACATATGGAAAGTATTTGGTGGCCACGCGTGCGACTCTTCTAGTAGACTGGTGAGTAACCGCGTAGCTAGATCCTCAGGGAATACGTCCAAGTGTAGAGTGCACGGGAGTGTTTTTTCAACATCTGCTGGGTCATACAAATGAAGAGTTTGACCTTGTTTTAAAGTTGGAGGCGGTGGCGCATTGAGCATGAATCGCGCGAGGGTGACTTGACGCGTATTGGCAGATGGTTTGAGCGAGGATGTAGGTGATCTGTGGCCTAGTAGTTTCCTAACTTTGGCAACACTTCCACCCGTACTCTCCAACAAGTCTCTTAAAACTTCTTCAGAAGCCTGTGGAACAAGGTCCTTAAGCGTTTTAATTTTTTTGTCCATGTTGACGTAGAAGGTGGGGTGAAAGTTCCTGAGCAAAGATTTTTATAAAGACTTTTTTAATTAAATTTAATTTACTTAATTTATTACATGACATTATCTGGAAAGTTACAACAACACCCTACGGAAGCTCTGCGCGAATCAGGTGGTGGTGAACGTTGGCACCAGCAATGGTGCCCATGTTGATAGCTCCAGAGACTTGTTGCAGAAACGTGCAATTGTCGCCTGCAACAAAAACTCCTGGAGCATGGGTAGCCTGGCCCATTGGCAGAGTTTCCACATGACCTGAAGGCAAGAACTTGACTCCGAGAGGCTGCATAAGGTGTTTGTTGCGTACCGTTTGTTTAGGGAAATACGACAAAAACCGGTGAGAGGTCTGGGAACCATCAAACACAAGATCGATGGACAATTCATGTGCCACAATTTTGGTGATTGGCCTTGAGTCAAACTTAAACCCATGGCGTTCTAACCGTGTTTGGAGTGCAAGCAGATCGCCTTCTCGTGGGTTGGGCATTGTGGTGAAATCCTGACCATTGGTGTAGATTGTGACTTTGTCCGCAAGTTTAGAGGCCATTCCAGCAATCTCAACAAGATGGCCCAAAACCATAGGATTGTCAAGAAGAAGTCCAGCACTGGGGCTTCCACGTTCTTCAAATCCATGGCAGAATAGACAATGGAAAACAGTTTCCCCCCAACCGTCTGAAAGCCCTGGGATACTTGATAGAGAGTCCTCGACACCTGATGCAAAGACAATTGTTTTCCCGTGGTATGTTGTTCCATTACTTGTCACCGTGAACTTGTAGTCATCTTGTTTCTCCACTCTTTCCACATTTCCTTGAACAATCTCAGCCACTGTTTTGTACCTTCCGTGGATCAGCTCATTGTGTGCAGCCTGTCGAAACTCGTGTGGAGCGTGATGGTCCCAGGTCAGAACGGTGTGCATGTGACTGGTGGACGCGTTGCGGTAGGTCCCATTGTCGAAGATAACGCAGGTGCGCAGGGCCCTGCAAAGTGCAAGTGCTGTTGCCAATCCTGCGGGTCCTCCGCCGATAATCAAACAGTCATAGGTAGATGTCATTATTTTTGATAATATATATATATATATATATTTTGTATTTAGTTTTGAATGGCATTTTAAGGAAGATTAATGGGGTTTGTTTTTATAGCCAGACTTGATTATTCCTACAAGGTTCTTTCTGACGTCAAATTGAAGAGGTAGTCCTAAAGAGGAAAGCTAAGAGAAGGTTAAGAGAGAATGGACCAACATAGAAATGAATTTTGCTCCTTCTTTTTTTTTATTTTTCTTTTTATAGTAAAAGATCTTTTCTTTTATTATGTCTTTTCATATTGAGTTTTGATTTATAAATTGATATTCTTATTCTTTCAAGTGTTTGGAGGGAAGGTGAATTAAATAATTAAAATATATATAAGTTACTAATTATTTTGTTATTAATAGTAACCTTTAAGTTACTAATAACTTATTTTTTTATTTTTTTTTGAGTAAAATTCTATTTTTAAATAACCCTGGACCCTTGAAACACTCCTGAAGGCCTCAGAAATTTCCTAATTGGGTTAAATAAAAACACATAAAAAACGTTTCTATTTTTAGTAATTTATTTTTTATTTTTTTATTTTTTTTTTTCCTGCTTACCAAAATAAAAAAAAAAATAACCCTCCAAAAACATTTTTTTTTTTTTTTTTTTTTTTGCTTTACTTGGAAAAGCCACCACCAAAAAAAAAAAAAAAACACCCTTTTAAAACCACCCCTTTTAATATCGCCATCCAACATCTCTCATTAAATAAACCTTCCTTTGCAACCATAAAAAAAAATAAATTTTAAATAAATCCATTCGTTAAACAACTATAAACAAATAATTCCTAGTAAGTTTCTAATCTTTAATCATTTAATTTTTTTGTTTTTTTACTCTTCTAATATTTAATTTTTTTTTTCTAGTGGATTCAAACCATCGTCTTTTCGACCTTGAGGGATCCTCTTCATCCCAACCAAGTCGGAAAAAGTCTCTGGTCAGACCAGAACGTGCTCGTCTTGACCCAAGCCATCAAAACTACTATTATACCCAAAAGGCTGCTGCCCAGTCGAGCCATCTCAATATTCAACCATCAACTACTGGTAATGACCCCCATTTCCCCCAAATGATTCCTCTTAATGACATGCGCTCGGACGGGGGGCTTATTGAAGAGGAATATGAAGATATCGATGATGATGATGATGATGACAATGATGGACATGAAAATAGAAATCTGGCACCATATCACAGCACAGAATCAAATAGTAGATACACTGACTATGATCCCCAACACCCAGCAATAACTCCATCTTCTTCCCATTATACCACAAATACTACAAATGAAAACCCCTCAAAGATCCCTCCTAGCACTTCTACTAGATCTCTTACCCAGTTAAACAATAACAATAATAATAACAACCAATATTATGAAAACCTTCCTCAAGGTGCACAAGTTGTTGAGGGCCTTAATGACGAAGCCCCTGGACTTGCTCAACAGCTTAGTAATACCTCTTCATCAGCAGGCCGCCGCAGAGAAATAGAAGGCATGCCATATGTTGATGATGAAGACCACAATGACGATGAAGCTGCTCAAGAGCCCCTCAATGACGAAAAAAAATCACCCAAACAGAGCCGCAGACTCCGAAGAAAACTTCGTAAACAGCAACTCAAACAAGAACAAGGCCCACCTCCCTCCATCTGGCGCTTCTACTGCGCCGTCGTTACCTTTTGGGCCCCAGCATTCACCATGCGTTGGTTTGGCATGACTACTAAAGAGCGCCAGTGGGCCTGGCGTGAAAAAATCGGTCTCATCACTGTCATTCTCTACATTGCAACTTTTGTCGCTTACCTTACGTTTGGCTTCACCCAAACGGCCTGCAAAAATAATGTTGTCCGCGTTCGCATCAACGAAGTCAACGATGGTAACCTCATCATTCACGGCCGTGCTTATGATCTCACCCGTTCAAAACATCCTCTCGCAAAGGGTATCCCAGCAAACTCAAACATTCTCTATCCTCCAGTTAATGCTGGCGGTATGGACGCTTCTTTTCTCTTTCAAAATGTCAATGGCCATTGCAAGGGCCTCCTGGTCCCCACTGAAAACTCTTCCATCCCTACCAACGGAGATGAACTTGCTTGGTACATGCCCTGCCGTGTTTACTCTCTAGATGGCTCTACCCAAGCAAACTTCACAGAAGAATATTACAATGGCTGGGCTTGCCACACTTCTGCTGCTTCACGCAAGGCTTACTGGGCATTAAAAGTCTCGGGTGAAGTCTACTTTTCCTGGGACGATATTCGTAACGCTTCTCGTAATCTTGTTGTTTTCAATGGTAACGTCATTGACCTTGATCTCATTTCTTGGATCCAGTCAACAGATATTGACGTTCCTAGCCGCTTTTATGACCTCCAAGAAGACGACACTATCCGCGGTATAGATGTCTCTACAATGATGGCCTCTGGCCAAGACCGGCAAATTCTTCGCTGTCTTAACGACATTGCCAAGGTTGGCTATGTCGACGCAGACCAAATTGGTTGTCTTGCTTCTTCCGTTGTCTTGTATGTTTCGCTCATCTTCATTATTGGTATCGTCGCAATTAAGTTTATCTTTGCCCTCTATTTCCGCTGGGTCATTTCCGGTAGCCAGGGCGCAGATTACCTAACAAATAAGGAAATTACCGAGCGTGACAATGTGGTAGAAGATTGGTCAGATAATGTTTATGCTCAAGGCCCTGTCAAATCTGTCAAAAAACCATTTCCTGGAGCAGGCCATAACCATTCCACCTCTACCGTTGGCAACCGTGCTTCCATGTTTGGCAGCCGCTCAACTTTTGGTAACATCACCATGGCTTCTCAAATGCCATCCTCTTCTACTTCCAAGATTGTTGGAAATACCTCCCAGTACCTTGACTCTCGCGCTTCTCTTGCCCTTGATGACCCCTTCCGCAGCTCATCCATGCTTGCCAGTCACAATGGTGCAAGATCAATCATGTCGGCTGATACATCTTACCAAGGCATGACTCCTGAAAACTTCCAAGAGGAATCCATCGATGTCAACTCTCCTGATTATGTCGTTCCTCAACCCCCCATTGACTATCAACCCTTTGGCTTCCCCTTAGCCCATACAATGTGTCTTGTCACTGCATACTCTGAATCTGTCGAAGGTTTGCGTACTACCATTGATTCCATTGCTACCACAGACTATCCCAATTCCCACAAAATGATTCTTGTTATTTGTGATGGTCTCATTAAGGGTTCAGGTAACGATATGACCACCCCAGAAATCTGTCTCTCCATGATGAAGGACTTTACTGAACCTCCAGACCAAGTCCAGCCTTACTCCTACGTCTCTGTCGTCAGTGGTGCTAAGCGCCACAATATGGCCAAGGTCTATTCCGGATTTTACAAGTATGATAATGCTACCGTCGATCCCTCCAAGCAACAACGTATCCCCATGATTACTGTTGTCAAGTGCGGTACTCCTGCCGAGCAGGGAAGTGCCAAACCCGGTAATAGAGGTAAGCGCGATGGTCAAATCATCCTCATGTCCTTTTTGCAGCGTGTTATGTTTGACGAGCGTATGACTGAACTTGATTACGAATTGTTTAACGGTATTTGGAAAGTCACGGGTATCGCGCCAGACTTTTATGAAATTGTACTCATGGTGGATGCAGACACAAAAGTCTTCCCAGATTCCCTTACCCATATGGTTGCCTGCATGGTCAAAGACCCTGAAATCATGGGTCTTTGTGGTGAAACTAAGATTTCTAACAAGCGTCAGTCGTGGGTCTCCATGATTCAGGTCTTTGAGTATTACATTTCCCATCACCAAGCAAAGGCTTTCGAATCTGTCTTTGGTGGTGTCACTTGTTTACCTGGTTGTTTCTGTATGTACCGTATCAAGGCTCCTAAAGGTGACGATGGTTACTGGGTTCCTATCTTGTGTAACCCAGATATTGTTGAACGTTACGCTGAAAACGTCGTTGATACTCTCCACAAGAAGAATCTGCTGCTCCTTGGTGAGGATCGTTACCTTACTTCTCTCATGCTTCGTTGTTTCCCCAAACGTAAACAGATCTTTGTTCCTAAGGCTGTCTGCAAAACTATTGTCCCGGATGAGTTTAAGGTCCTGTTGTCTCAACGTCGTCGTTGGATTAACTCTACCGTCCATAACCTCATGGAACTGGTATTGGTCCGCGATCTCTGTGGTGTCTTTTGCATTTCCATGCAGTTTGTTGTCTTTATCGAACTCGTCGGTACCCTTATTCTCCCTGCTGCTATCTCTTTCACCCTCTACGTCATCATCATTGCTATTGTCAAAAAACCTACCCCTGTTATGTCCCTTATCTTGCTTGCTCTCGTTTTGGGTCTCCCCGGTGTTTTGATTATTGTGACTGCTTCTAGATGGTCGTATGTTGTTTGGATGTTAATCTACCTGCTTTCTCTCCCCATTTGGAATTTTGTTCTTCCTACCTATGCCTACTGGAAGTTTGATGACTTTTCTTGGGGTGATACTCGTACCATTTCTGGTGGCGATAAGGGTGGCCACGACGAAGCATCTGGTGAGTTTGATTCGAGTCAAATCATTATGAAGCGCTGGCGTGACTTTGAGCATGAAAAGCATCGCTTTGCCTACTCAAATACTGGTGCAGCTTCTACTTATGCGGCATCTGTCAATGGTTTCAATAACTTTAGCAACCACCCCTATGGTAACACCGGACCTCTCGCTCCGTCTTTTGCTCCGGCGGCTTATAACAATATGGCTTCACAAAGTCAAACAGTGGTGCAACCACCTACTGCCCAATGGCTTAACACTCATGGCGACCCGGGTATTTCCACAGACTCGCGGACGTCATCGCCAAGATTGTACCCGGCCACGTCAATTCCACGTTCGACTTCGTACAACCAAACGCCTCCTCCACACTCGGGTGGTCTTCCTATGACACAATCCGAGACGCAGCTTTCGGTGGTATCGTCGGTGCAGAACCAGCAGCCTCAGCGGCCGGACAATATGTTTTAAAAAAAACAAAAATGGGTAATATTTATTAGAAGAAATGATTTTAAAATTTTTTTAAAAAAAAAATGCATTGGTATATATTTAAGTTTATATAAAAAAAATAATATTTGAAAAAACGGTTATAATAGAAAAGAAAAATTGAAATAAAAATCTATGAAATGCAAAAAAAAAATAAAAAAAAATAAAACAAATAATAAAGAAACATAAGTTTATCGTGCAGCAGCATGTCCTGTATGTCTAATGTGATCAAACAGCTTGTTTTTGCTGGAAAAAGATTGTTTGCACACATTGCACAGGAGCGTTGGTCCGCCGCCTGCGCCGGAGCTATAGTTATTACCGTGTGTATTTTTCTTAATTTTGCGCTGCTTAGCTTTGCCCAATTTCTGTGACGAGGCCGAGGTTGAGGCTGCTGGTGAAGAAGAGCCCATGCGTGTTTGTTCGAGCTGTGCAAGAAGATCGGCAATCGATTGATCTTTGGCTGTAGACTTTTTGGGAACTGGTGCAGGAGTAGGCTCAGAATCGTCTTCGGAATCGTCTTCTTCTTCTTCTTCTTCTTCTTCTTCTTCTTCTTCTTCTTCATTGTCCGACATGAGAGCGCCAAACCCGCTAGACACGGGTTTATGAGCCTCATCCAATGACTCTTCCTCTGAATCGTCATCATCATCATCATCATCTTCCTCTTCTTCACTATCTGACATGAGCGCGCCAAATCCGCTCGATACAGGCTTATGCATTTCATCTGTTGACTCGTCCTCAGAATCTTCATCGGAATCATCAGACATGAGCGCACTAAACGCACTGGACTTTGATGGTGGAACAATTTCGTCTTCTTCCTCACTTTCGTCATCATCCTCATCATCGCTAGTTTGTAGTGCCGCAAATCCACTGGTTTTGGGTGGCTCTTCTTCAGAACTCTCTTTTTCTTCTTCTTCTTCTTCTACTTTTGGCTCGTCCTTTTGGTCAAACCCAAGATCAATGCCCTCCTTGCGCATCTCTTCCTTAAGCTGCTCCACTGCCTTGATATGTTTCTTTGATCGCTCGTGCGCAACCAGCTGCTTTGTCGTCTTAAATGTTTTATCACACACCACACATTCAAACACTTCTTCCACATCAGACCCTTCATCAGACCCTGTTTCTGTATTTTCCTCTCTTGTGAACCCAGCAGGTGGTTCTCCTGCTGCTGCAGTTTTCCTTGCACTCTTCTTTTCCTCTTCAGAGTCGGAGAAAAATGTATTCACATCTTGCTTCGAAATCCGCTCCCATTCTTGTTCTTCATAAGTAGTCCGTTCTTGAGCATTGCGCTTCCGTTCCTCTTCAGAAAGTTGCTTGGCTGATTTTTTCGCATTCGCCTTCTTCCCAAACCCAAGGTTGGCTGCATCTTGTCCAGCATACCGCTTATATCGCGGATCGTTTTTGCGAATAAAGGCCACAAACGTCTTAACAGCAGCATTAAATTGACGTTTGGCTGCTTCGCGTGCCTTGTTGTTGGCCGCATCCATGGCGCGTCGTGTACGTCTGTCCTCCGCATATTTGACATCGTACTTGTCAGCCCATGTAAAAGGTTTGATGGTAGAAAACGCGGCCCAAGCTTTGTAAAAGGGTTCGAGCTCTTCCAGATAATCAGTCTTGGAAGTACCGAATTTGGCTGGCAAAGGTTCGTACATTGGATTAAATTTGGGCTGTGATTCCAGCTCTTCACGTGCTAATCGCTTAAAGATATCGCCTGCAACTTTGTAAAACTTGAGCTCGCCACCGCTGGCCACACCCTTGTACATTTCAAGATCAGATACGTATCGTTTAAGTTCTTCAACTGTCAAAAAGCGTGGTACAAACTCTTCTTGTTGTTGAGAGTACTGTTGTTGTTGGCCACCACGACCGCGATGACCAAACTGGTCGTAGTATGCGCGTTCCTGGGGGTCAGAGAGGACATCGTAGGCTGCCTGGATTTTGGCAAAGAGAACCGTGGCTTCTTCTTCCTGGCCCAGATTACGATCTGGATGCAGACGAAGAGCCATTTTGCGGTAAGCCTTTTTGAGTTCGTCGGGGGAGGCGTTGCGTTCAGCATTGAGAAGCTTGTAGTAGTCCATTTCGCGGATCAGGGCATTGAACTGAGCGGACGCTGCAGCAGCTGCTGGGTCATTACTTTGCGCGGATCCCATGATTCAATAGATTCTCAATAGACCAACAAAAAAAAGGGAAAGTATTTGGTATTTAAAGAGTTTTGTTTTCAAAAGAGAATCCGTTGCCACTGGTATTTCAATAGGCTTTTTATTGGATTTGTAAGAATGAAGAAAAAAAAAAAAAAAAAGTCCAGTCAGCCTCACTCATCACCACCTTAAAAAAAATTTTACAGTCACGTGAATATCCGTTTTGGGAAATTTGCAAAAGTCCTATGAAGCGTTGCAAAATGCAAATGAAAGAAAATGAGAGCAAATGAAAACAATTGACATTTAAAGATTATTAAAAGGTTTTTAATTAAAAAAATTTGTATAATATTAAATTTATAGTTATTTTTAAGGTTGTTAAAATGAAGATCAAGGTTCTTAAAGTAATCAACATGTGTGTGGATTTTGAGACGGTCTATGATTTGAATTGGTGAAAATGAATAGCTTTAAATGAATTCCACCAAATAAATTTGTTGAATTATTATAATGATAAAACTTGAAGTAAAGTATTTATTGAACTTCTATTAAAAGTCTAAGAAAAAATCAGGTATTGATGATCAAAGACTTAAGTCTGGGCTATTGCCTGTTCCCTAAGTCAAATCTTAAAGGTAATTCATAGATTTAAATATTTAAACAAACAAACAATTCTTTAAATATTTGCAATATTTTTTTACAAAATATTTTAAAATCTTCCTTTTATTTTTTTTTTTTTTCGTCTTTTAATTGTTAATCTTTTGAATCTTTGAATTCCCACCACCTTTTCTTCCCCTTTAAAAGCCTTGCCAGGGTTAGGGCCCTCCCTCAAAACTACCCTATAAAGTTGCCTATACAAACCACACACACACATACACACCACTTTAAGTCCTGCCTACAATACCCGCGCCTTTTTTATTTTATTTTTTTTTATTCTATTCTATTTTATTTCTTTTCTATTTCTTTTCTTTCTACTACCAAAAACCCACCTTTCACATCTTCAACATCGAAATGCTGGCCAGTTCTTCCTTTAAGCGTCTGGCTCTTTGCCAGTTTCCTCGACGAGTTGTGACTTCCATCCGATTCAACTCTACTTCAAAGTCCGGCTCTCAACCGAACTCCAAATCACTCCCAGAAACAAGCTCCGCGCCTGAACCAGCAACATCATCATCACATACAGCAGCATCCGCTACCTTCTACACACCCAAGGTTCCGCGCAATACCATGGCCGCGCAGCAGGCTCTGCGACGGTTCCCTGGAATGCTTGATACACCACCAACAAACTCGACTCCTCAGCAACACCCCGGAGCTCACGAAGATTCCCCCGAAACTACTGCGGCTGCACCACTCCCACCAACACAGGGATACTCGTATGGCCATGATGTTCACTTTGGTGGACCCACCGATCCCTACCTCGCATCAACCGCTGCGAGCCAAGGAGGCCTACGGTATCGTCCTTGCACTACCATTTCCAAAAGTGAGAAGTATGACTTGGCAATAGCCATTGATCAGCTGTACCAGCAAGGTTTGCGTTCTGCCTCAATTATTCTTCCTGGAGAAGTCGCGCATGTGTACTACCCATATGCACCGGGCCACCATGCAGATGTGCTCATCATCTCAAGTGGATGTGTGGTGGCATGGGGCATGACAGAGTCTGAAGTTCAAGAAAAAATTTTGCCCCTGCTTGCGCCGGCTGAGATAGGGCCCTATCCTGAGCCTGAGTCGGAGGACATGGATTATATTGAGGAAAAGCCTGTTGAGAATAAGACCGAGACTATTAAAGAGACTAAAAACCATGAAGAAAATGGCACTGAAAAGGAGGATGAGCCTTTGCACAGCACCATGGTTGGTGATGTTATTGTGATTCGTGGTGTCACATATACCCAACGACTTTTGGCTAAAGCGGCTTTTTCATCTGGATTGGCGCGCAGTACCAAGTTGGCTAATTTGGAAAACCTGCTTGACAAGCACATCAATACTACCAAGAAGTACATTGACAATCTTGCCAACGGTCGACGACTCGGTATTCGTGGCAAAACTGTGTTGATGCTTACCGGCAAGCTGTTAAGAATCCGTGGTCAACTTAACTTGTACTCTGAATTGATTGAGACCCCAGACTTGTACTGGTCGGAACCCGAGCTAGAATCTTTATATGTTCTTATTTCTCGCAAGTTGGATGTTGCTCCTCGTATTGCCATTCTTAACAAGAAGTTGGATTATGCAAGTGAGAGCTTGAGCACCCTCAAGTCTCATATTTCCGAGGAGCAGAGCGTGCGTCTTGAATGGATGATTGTTATTCTCATTATGGTCGAAGTATGCTTTGAGACTTCCCACTTTGTGGAAAAGTACCATGAAAAGCGCCGTGAACCTAAGGAAATTAGAGCTGATTAGAAATATCCTCCTACCCTGTGTGTAAATATATATATTTGATAATTTTTGTATTTTTTTGGTTTAGAATTGATTAATATTTTAATAAAAACTCATTGGTATAAATTACGTGCCACTGGTTCATGAAACGAAACAAAATTTTTTGGATTGGTCATTAGCTGGTGCATGATAATCTACTCTATCATCAGTCAAGTGGGATGGATCATTTACAACTTTTGTATAAACAATGAAATTAGAGGGGAAACAAACTTTACAAATAAAAAAAATTCATCACACAAGCTTTCCGCGCTCATGAGTGGGATCAAACCCAATATTATTGAGAAACATTGACACGTCAAAAGGTTGTGCGGGTGGTGCTTCTCGCTTTTCGTCGATTGGGTATCGGTCGCTAGTCCGCGACATTTGTGACCGCACGCTCCCAGCATACTCTGACCGCCGGTGTGCTGCTGACCGAATCGATGTGCCACCGCCTCCATATCCAGACGCTGCCTTTTTCAAATCTGTAACCTTGGGTGACATCTCACGACGCAAATCGCCAAAGGACTGCGCAGTAAATGTCCTGTAGGGTGCAGGGACTTGAAGTAACAATGCAGCTGCTGCTTGTGCTGCTGTTGGTGTTCCCGTGTCACCAGTAGGTGTCGTTGTAGTAGGAATAGCCCACCCTGTAGACTCGTTTGTCTTGGCGGTATCGATCGGAACATCATCCAAGCTTATAGTGGTATCATTGTTCGAACCATTGACTTGATTAATTGCAGTTCCACCCACCCCAACTGCGCCAGATACGCCGACAGGTGTTCCGGTGTTGATTCCGGTAAAAAATGTGGGCAGAATGCGCGTATTGTAACCCAGTTCCTTCAAGGAACGTGCACGCACGGGAGTTGGCAAAGCATCAAGAAGATTTTCTGACGAAGCACGTTGGGAGTGTGCGCGTGTAGTAGCCGAAATAGCACCAGTGTGTGTCTCGTCTTGTAAAGGAATGACAATGGAGGCCCGTGATTCTACGGGAATGTCAGGCCAGCGAGCGGCAAATTCGGCCAAAAGCTTATCGTCAGGAAGATATTGTAATGTATCAAGAATAGCCTCAGAAGAAGGTTCAGCAGGGAAGGGAATTTTTCCACTGGCTGTAACATCATAGCTAAAACTATAATTCATAGGCACTGCAATAGCACGATACCATAGGCCAGTACTCTTCCGACGAGAAATCTCCTCTGAGGTAAATTCTGCGAGAGTCTTAATATCGTATGTTGTTCCAATAGTTGAAAAAAGAGCAAGTGCCACAGATGAAAGATTTAGCCCTCGTTCCAGAGCATTCAAAGATGTTTTGGGAGAGTCATGATAACAAGAAATCAAGTCTCTACTTTCAGCAAGAAATGTGTTTGCAAGAGCAGCCACGCGCACAGCGCCGTTGACCTTGAGCTGAGTAGCAACCAGATTTAGAATGTGGTAGATTAAAATGTAATCTGTTGGAAGGAGAGGTTCGGAACGAGCGCCAAGTGCATGGAGCTCTGAAATAATTCTGCCAACGGGCCCAGCCGTTACACGGAAGTTGACATTAAGCGGAGCAATTTGGTCTGGATCAATGCCATCGTTTTTTAAAAGAATGATGAGGGTGTTTGCAAAAGCATGGCGCACATCTGGGTCTGGGTGATTGAGCAATTTTTGCGTGCCATCCCAAGAAGAAATTGTAAGGTAAACATCGCCGCGGTTTGCACGAGAAGAAGAGTCGGCAAGAATCGAAGTGATTGTTTTGAGAAGAGTGGCAATATACAGTGATTGGGAGCCGAGAGGAGTAGTTGACGCACTTTGGAACCGGCTGAGAAGCTCAGAAATCATATCTGGAACTTGAGTGGCGTAATAAATATGTGAAGCTAATGCTACAACACACTCGCGGAGAATGACCACAAGATCGCTTACTGAAGGGGAACCGGAAGTATAAAGATCTTTAGGAGTTGTTTTTATAAGTGTTGCTTGATAGTGGAGCAGAGTGCGTTCAATGTCAATGACAGAGAGGCCTATCATATTGACAGCAGAAGAAAGAAGAGCATGTACAAGATACGCGTAAAGGTATTGAGTCTTGGTATCTTGAGATGGAATAGCCACAAGCTTGTCGACAAGGACGCCAAGGACTGCAAAACGAATTTGCACGGGGACCCACTTGGCACAGGTAATGACAAGAGTGAAAGCCCATTGTTGAGGTCGGTTATTATCTTTAAGGTACGCGAGCACAGCATCAGTAGAGCCCTTGAGAACAAGATAAGATGTTGTTTCAAAAAAGTTTTTGAGAGCCTCCATAGCAGTTGAAAGAAGTAGGGGTTCGCCGGTAAGTGCCGGTGGTTCCGGGGCGATTGAAAATCGACGTGATTCTCTGCGAGTAAGAGGGTAAATATGTGAATCAATTCGAACAAGAGCTGAGCCATCCGAGTCGATTGCAAGAGTAGCCAAAACCACAGGAACTGTTTTTTGAATGTGGACAAGGCCAGTTGGTGTTGAGATTGCAGCTGAGGCTGAAAGGCTCTTGATGGCGTCAAGGCCGACGAGTCGCCATTGGAGAGCATTAGGACCAGTCAAGGAAGCAGAGCCAGCAAGAGCCACATAAGCATCCACAAGAATGTGGAACTGGTGAACATAATCTGGGTCGCCACCAAAAAGAGCACCATCATGATACTGGCAAAATGACTGGAAGACTGGAGACGCATGTTGACACAGAGCCAGGTCGTTGGATGTCAAGATTCTGTTGAGAACAGCGACGACATTTCGCGCAAAGAGATTAAGGTCTTCATGAGTTTTTTCAATTAAAGCTTTGAGAATATCAAGAGTTACTTGGACGTCGCTAATGGAGATATTAGGTTAGTAGTGTCATTTGACATGTGAGAATTTTTTTTTTTTTAAAAAGTACTAACCCAGAACGGCCCTTGTAGACATCGTTCAGGGCTTTTGCCTCGAGGAAGACGCCGACCTTAGTGAGTTTGGAGCGACGAGTAGACGCATAGTAAAGGAGGTAAGATAGCTCAGAAGAGTTAGGGCGCTTGTCAATGCCTCTGCCCGGTGGATAGCACTGGAGGATGAGCTTCTGGTGCTTTGACTTGAAATGCATTACAATGGCATGAGAATTGGATGGGTGTGTCCAATGATGTACTTTAGGGTTTATGAGAAGAAGACCAAGAAGAAGGAAGAAGACAAAGGGCTTATAAAGGAAATTCAAAGGACTTGAAGCGATTTAGTAGGCGTTTTGTAGCCACGCTTTTGAGCAGCGCTAGGTTAGTGGCTGGGAGTGCTGGCGTGTCCAGAAATTTATAGCAAATGGAAAGGGAAAAAGAGAAGGTGCTGGGCGAATTCTGGAATTTTTTTTTTATTTCTTTTTTTGGTGGTGGGAAAATTTAAAAGGTGAGCGGGTTAGTCAGCTTCTGGTGGAGTAACACCTAACCATCTGTCTGTCTGTCTAGTTGGTGGTGGTGGTGAGATGAGTGGCAGGAAAGTTTCCTCGATAAAACCAAACAGTTTTAAAATAAAATTGAAGCGGGAAAAGATGGAAATCTAAAAGAAATTAAAAAAGATCATCGGGTTTGATCAAAAGTTCAATTGAAAAAGTTCTGGTCGGGTCACTGGTCGGGTCTTTGTTCCGGATCTTTGAATGAAAAAAGCAGCCCACACAAAAAGCAGAGGCCAACACATGTTCTACTTACATTAGGTTATTTAAAATAAGTCATTTGTATTACCAAATAACATTCTTTTACCATTCAGTAACCCTAATAAAAAAAAATATTTCACTTTACCACCTGATGGTCAAACCTTCACAACCACCACTACTCAACATAACAATCTAGCAACTGCCCTACTAACTCAACATGCCTCCCATCTACGTTAAAGGCGGCGTGTGGACAAACGTTGAAGATGAAATTCTCCGAGCAGCTATCTCTAAATATGGCCTGAACCAGTGGGCTCGCGTATCGTCGCTACTGGCGCGCAAGACTGCTAAACAGGCCAAGGCGCGTTGGACCGAATGGCTCAACCCTACCATCAAGAAGATTGAGTGGTCGCGCGATGAAGACGAAAAGCTGCTCCACTTGGCCAAATTAATGCCCACACAATGGCGTACCATTGCACCACTAGTAGGACGCACCGCCACACAATGCATTGAACGATACCAGCAGTTGCTTGAAGATGCAGAACAACAAATCACAGGCAAAGATCTGTCGTTAACTGGTCCCGGAGCAGAAGCCAGTGCTTCCAAACGCGTCAGATTTGGTGAAGATGCTACACCGGAATCCAAACCTGCCAGACCAGATGCTATCGACATGGATGAAGACGAAAAGGAAATGCTTTCTGAAGCTCGAGCGCGTCTGGCCAATACTCAGGGTAAAAAGGCAAAACGCAAAGACCGTGAGCGACTGTTAGAACAAAGCAGACGTTTAGCAACACTTCAAAAACGACGCGAACTTAAACTTGCAGGCATCAACACCAAGCTTGCAAAACGCGATCGCAAAACAGTCGATTATAATGCAGATATACCCTTTGAGCACAAACCTGCTCCAGGGTTTTATGATACCACTGAAGAAGATATTATGAATTTACGCGCAAAAGCCGGGTTTGATCGTAAAACAAACAAGACTGGTGTGTTTATGAGAGAGTCAGGCACCGATAGCCAGGGTAAGAAACGATACCGCGATAAGGCGACGGAGATTGCAGCAGCAGAACAATCAGCACAAGCACGCGCACAACATTTGGAAGAACTTAACCAAGCAGATCAGCTATCAAAACGACGAAGACTTGAGCTGCCGGCTCCTCAAGTTGATGATGCTGAAATTGAACAGATTGTCAAGTTTGGTACGCGTGGCGATCGCATGCAAAAAATGTACAATGGTGGTGATGCTCAAGGGTTAGTTGGAGAGTATGGAAGTGGGCTGGAATCGATGCGAACACCACAAATGGCTCAAGACAGAGTGTTGGAGTCTGTACGAGAGATCCAGGCTATTTCTGAACAAGGTTCTGTTCTTGGTGGAGTTGATGATGTTTTACCTTTACCAAGACCAAGAATGGGAGGGAGTAAAGATGTAAGCGTTCCAAGAACACCAAACCCATTGGCTTTAGGACCTGGAATGACACCAAGACGAGACGCCTTGGGATTTAACACTGGAGCTTCATCTTCGCAAGATCTAGGTCGGAGCTTGCTTCGGGCCAAGTTTAAGAGTCTACCCAAACCACTGAATAATTTTGAAATTCTTGTTCCCGAAGAAAAAAGTATTGAGATTGAAACAGACATTCTAATTCCAGACCGTGGAGAACTGGAGGCAGAAGAAGAGCGGAGGAAACAAGAAGAACATGAACAAGAACTTGCTGGGCGATCACAAGTGCTGCGACGAAACCTCCCACGGCCAGTTGCAACAGTACTACCGAAAATCAGCGAAGGTGAATATGCAGCCATTGCTTACGAGATTCAAAGAGAAATGCAACGACTCATTATTTCAGATAACGAAAAGTATCCCGAAGTGGGAGAAGGTCATGATACAGATTTACCAGTTCTTGATGAAACACTCAAGGCCCAAGCGTTTGCGGAAATTGAACAAGAGGTTAGCAAGGATGCCGAGTTTATACTTAAAACAAATACACTTGCTGCCAGTCTTGATGTGCCCTACGTGCTACCTGGATTAGGACCGGACAAAAAGGAGTACACGGCAGCCAAAGAAGCACTTGCAGCAGCTCTTGTTTCTACTGCAACGGAGGCCAACGACGCCGAAAAGAAACTACAAAAGACAATGGCTGGGTACATGCGTCGGCAACAGGTATTATCGGACAAAATGGCCCAAGCATACACGGGGATTGCAGAGCTTGCAGTCGAGCGTGCGTTGGAAGAAACTCTTCTGCAGAACGAAACGGTGGCCTTAAGTGCACGCCTAGGTCGACTCCAAGAAGAAGTCAATTTTCTTACGGATGCCGAGCGTCGTGGCCAGGAGCTTTATCGCGAGTATCAAATGGTTTAGAATATGTAGGTTGACTTTGTATTAATAGTTGCTATCTTTTTTTTTTTTTTTTTTTTTTTTTTTTGGGGGGGAAGTGGGCTTTCTGTTCTGTATTTTTATTTTGTTGTTTGTTTTTTTTGTTTTTTTTTTTTTCCCCCTCTTCACCACCACAAACATGCCTAAACTTTTGCAAGTTCCGCTCCGACAGAGCGACCCAGCGGCGCTGGGTGCGGGTCTGCAGGAATTCCTGGAAAGAGAATTCCATCAGACGTCAGCCAACGTGCGCCGGGATTGCCAGTTAATCGACAAGATGCGAACGCGAGCCTTAGATGGGTCTTTACCTAGTCTTTTTGAGTAAGTTAAACATCCAACTTTCTTTTTATCCTTATTCTAACGACTATAGATATTATGCCAATCTATGTGGACTCATGACAAGATTCCCTGTAGAGTTAACTACTGATTTTGCATGGTATGGGTCATTGGGATATACTCAATCTGGACCAGTTCGCAGTGCATCGCTGCGATTCGAACAAATTAATATTGTGCACAATGTTGGCGCTTTGTACAGTCATTTAGCGGCGCAGCAGCTGGCCAGCGATAGTAAAGGATGTAAGTTTGCATATAACTATTTCCAGTTTGCAGCTGGGTGTTTCCGATATATTGTGGATATTCTGCTTCCTGCGCTTGTTGAGCACGCGCCACCGCTCGATCTTAATTCGGCAGTGCATGAAACGCTGTATTATATATGTCTTGCTCAGGCCCAAGAATCGTTTTGGCAAAAGGCTGTGATTGAACAATCTAAGAATGGAACCATTTCAAAGTTAGCAGCTCAGGTGGCGGTATACTATGGGGACGCGCTGACGTTTGCTGTGCGGTGCGCGGTGTTGCGGACCGAATGGATCCGCCATCTCAAAATCAAAAAGGCCCATTTTTCTGCAGTAGCACAATATCGTGCTTCTAAAGAGTGTTTGGAGACTGAGAAGTATGATTTGGAGGTTGCACGGTTACGAGCAGCCAAAGAAGCAGCCAATATTGCATTCCCATCTGGAGAAGCACCCAGCGAAGCTATTGATGATCTTAAGGATCTTCAAGAGCGTATCAGATCAGATTTGGAACGCGCAGAAAGAGATAATGATTTGATTTATCAAAAGCTTGTGCCTTCTGTATCGTCACTGCCCGTGATTTCCCCCATCAGTATGGCGAAAGCAGTTGTTCCACCAGAGATTAAGGAACCGACCAAAGATGGGCTACTCTTTTCTTACATTTTACCTTATGCCGTGTACCAAGCAGCAAGTGCATATAAGGAGCAGCTTGTTAGTTATGTGGAGACAGCATTTGTGAGTCAAAGCAAGGTGATTTCTACGGAATTCCAGCGTGTGTTGGAGGAATTGGGGCTTCCTGGGTCATTAGAGGCTGTAGAAAAGCCACAGGGGCTTCCTGGGTCTCTCACATCACACATTGCGGAACTAGAAGCCTGTGGTGGTCTTGCCGAGTTGCAGCGAGCACTGGCAGATGTGTCTACACTGGCACGACGAGCGGGACAGGTACTTGATGAGGGAGCTGAGCACTTGAAGTATGAGGAAAATGAGGATCGCATGATGCGAGAACGCGAAGGTACTGCGCGGTGGCGGCGGCCAGAATCGCGGGTGGCAGCTGCAGTGTTATGGGAGCGACTTGGACGTGCACGGGAAATGCAAAAAGCAGCAGCTGAGGGCGACGCTAGGGTTTTGGCCAAGTTTAAGCTGACTGAACCTTATTTGGTTGAAATGACACAGGGGGCCGAGCATGTTGCACAAATCATTCCGGATGCATTTGCTGGGAATGGTGGTCTGGCGGGTTCAAACAACAATGATGGATACCTGGAGCACGTGATGCAAAGACTTAAGGAAGCCTTGTTGCGTGCACGAGGTGCTGAGACTCGACGACGAGAGTATGCAGCTAGTCAAGTACAAGCGGCTGCTAATGTGGACATGTTGGGTGAGATTATTGATGATTATAATTCCCGATGGGGGGTTCCTGGTGAAGAAGGTGGTGGTGAGTTGCAAGCTTCATCGTTTGAACCGATTTACAAGCGGCACTTGAAAAGATATGAAATATCTGCTCCGGAATGGGTGAAGCAAGAGCGGAGTCTTCAAGTGGAGCTTGTTTCTCTGATTAAGAGATTGAATGAGGAATTTTTGGCAGCGCGGGAGACAGATGATCGGACAATTGCACGGGAGAATATGATTCAAAATTTGGAGGTTGCATTTTTTAAATTTGTAGAGCTGATGGGGGATGTAGAAGAGGCACGACGGTTTTACAATACGTTTAATGAAAGTGCAGTACAATTTGAGACGGCTTGCAAGACGTATGTTTATGAACGTCGGGTTGAGGGCCGTAAGCTAGAGGCTGCTATTGCTGAAGAGCATGATGAATCGGTGGCTGGGGCTGGGGCTGGGGCTGGGGCTGGGGTTACAGCGAGTCCTACACCTGCAGCGGTATTGAATTCTGTACAAGAGCAGCAGACAGGTTCTACGGCTGGTTCGACTTCTGGGTCTGTTTCTTCAACGCCAACGCCATATCGTAATCGGGTGTGGACTCCTGGGAGTGAGATTCGGTTTGGTTAGGATGGAAGAGTTTAAGAAGTGATATTTATGTAAGATAAGCACGTTATTAATAAAAAAAAATTTCTTTTATTTTATTTTGTTTAGTTTGTTTTTTTTAAAACAAAATACCGATTTTTTTTTTTTTACAATCTTTATTTCCTTATTTTTTTGTGATTGTGATTGTGATTGTGATAACAATTTGAATTTTGATATTTTTCTGTATAAATGAAAAATTTGATTAATATTGAATATAAAAAAAAATATTTTACTTAAATAGGATATTTAGATGAAAAAAAAAAAAAAAAAAAAAAAAAAAAAAAAAAAAAAATTTTTTTGAAAGTATTTTCATCTTTGAATTCTACATTGTTGTATTAAAAGATTAAAAAAAAAAGAGAAGAAGTTTTAAAAGAATTTGAAATTTAAATGAAATGAAATGAAATCTATATGATTTCTTAATATTATAATATAAAAATATATTTATCAAATTATAATTCTTTTTTTTTAAAATAATATTAAAATGATTGATTGTTATTAGAATCTTGAAATCATTTATAAAGAAAATAAAACCCTGATTTGGTTTATTAAAAATAATAATAATAATAATAATTTTTTATTTTTTTGATTATAATAAAGAAAAGAGCCGTATAAAACAATAATGACAAATTGATTTGTAATACATATCACATGATGATTAAATAGCACATTAGAATCACGCCAAGCTCCTAAGGCAGGCTTAGACTAAAAGGATTAAAGCGGCGCCTCCTATATGAGAGACTTTAAAGAAGAAAAGACCAGCTGAGTAGTAGCAAAAAAAAAAAAAAAAAAAAAAAAAAAAAAAAAAAAAAAAAGATGAAGAAGAAGAATTTTTCAAAATGATTAGAATATTAAAATATTGTAGTAAAGCATGTGATGATGATGATATATAAGGATATATTGTTGGATGATATTAGATCAGATGAGAAAAAAAAAAAAAAAAAAAGTGTCATTTTTTAAGATTAACTTTTGATAGTAATTTTTATTTATATTTTTATTTATATTTTTATTTATATATATTTTTTTATGTCAATATACATCTTTTCAAGTTAAAATTTTCCTCGAGATGTATTTTTTATTTTTATACATTTTGAAATAAAGGAAATTTTCTGACAGCTTGTTATAGTGGTCCATTTGAAATAATTTGTTTGAGATAATAATAATAATAATAATAATAATAATAATAATAATAATAATAATAATAATAATAATAATAATAATAATAATAATAATAATAATAATAATAATAATAATAATGTTTGGTCTTTGTGTGTTGTCTAGTGAATGAAAATATATTGAAAAAAAAAAAAAAAAAAAAAAAAAAAATATTAAAAATTCTTTTTTAATAAATTCAAATTGAACTTCTTCTTTTTAAAACTTCTTTACTACTTGACTGAAAAAATAAATAAATAAACATCTTTAAGACTTTATATATATATATATATATATATATATATATAAAGCTTTGAGACACTTTGTTTGATTAAGCGAAAAAAAAAAAAAGGGACATTTATTATTATTAATAAGTCTATTGTATGAACTTCAAAAAGTATAAATCAACAAACTAAAAAACTAAAAAAGAAAAAACCTGAGTTTTTTTTTATATATATATCCAATATCGATATAAAAAAAATAAAAATAAAAATATCTTCATCAATATAACTTCCAATGCCGTTAACTTACTTTCTATAAATCTATCTTCTTCTTCTTCTTCTTCTTCTTCTTCTTCTTCTTCTTCTTCTTCTTCTTCTTCTTCTTCTTCTTCTTCTTCTTCTTCTTCTTCTTCTTCTATCAATCCTTTTGTCTGTCTGTAGATGCCTTTACTGAGCCTCCTTTGCTTGAAAGAAAAAAAAAAAAAATTTCTATCAGTTGGAACTTTAAATTTATTTTCTTTTTTTTTTTTGGGGGAGGGTTTAAGCGGTGTTTTTATTATTTTATTTATTTTATTTATTTATTTTATTTATTTTATTTATTTTATTTATTTTATTTATTTTATTTATTTTATTTATTTTATTTATTTTATTTATATAAAAAAGGACACCCACCCACTAGCCATTTTTTTTTTTTTTTTTTTTTTCAACTTTAACGTTTTGAAAATTCCCGCGACCTCCTTTTTCACTTTACACACACACACACACACACACACACAGACAACTTCTGGTTGTGATCACCACAAATAATAATAATAATAATAATACCCTTCAAAACCTACCCCATAGAATATAATGTTCAACACACCAGGATCATTACTCATATCTTCCCTAACTGCTATATCTTCTTTGGCTTGGGCTGCAGATGTTGCAGGAACTCTACAATTAGACTTTGCAGTCGAACGCACATCAAGAGTTCTTAATCACCGTTATGGACACCTCCGTAGACGTGCTGTAGCAGGCACCGAAGAAGTCACTTTACAAAATGAACTTACATATTACAATGTTGAAATCACACTGGGAACTCCAGCACAATCTTTTAATGTTCTTATCGACACTGGCAGTTCTGATCTCTGGGTCATTTCTAATCAAAACCCATACTGCTCATCATCTTCATCTTCATCATCAATCTCTAGTGATAGTACTTTTGACTGTTCAACTTCTGGAACTTTTGACTCATCAGCATCTTCTACTTTTAATAAAAATAACTCAGACTTTTATATCAAATACGGAGATGGAACAGTCTCAGAAGGCGATTGGGCAACAGATACCTTTTCCATGGGTAACATTACAATTGACAATATGTCCTTTGGCCTCGGCTCTCTTACAAATTCAACCATTGGCATTCTCGGCGTAGGTTACGCTGCAAACGAAGCATCAGTAGCTATTACAAACAATGCTTATACATATCGCAATCTTCCATTACGTCTTGTCGACTCAGGTTATATCAACACTCCTGCATATTCGCTTTGGCTCAATGACCTAAATGCTGAAACAGGATCTATTCTGTTTGGTGGTGTTGACCATGCAAAATACTCAGGTTCTCTTCAAACGGTTCCAGTGCTCAAAAGCTCTAGTTCAAAACAATACAGCGCGTTTCTGGTTGCCCTTACTGAAATTTCACTCTCATCAAGTGGTGACAATACTGTAACTACTCTTCTTAATGATTCCCCCATTCAGGCTCTTCTCGATTCGGGTACTTCGCTCAGTTATTTCCCTCAATCGCTAGCAAATGAGCTCATTGTCAACCAGCTCGAAGGTTCCTACGTCAGTTCTCTTGGTTATTATGTTCAATCTTGTGAGTTGTCTGGCAACTTGACTTATAACTTTTCTGGTGCCAACATTGTTGTCCCGCTTTCTAGCATTTTGCTTCCCCTGACTACAGATTCCGGTCGTCAGGTGTATTCCAAAGGTGGTGTACCTGTTTGCATTATTGGAATTTTGCCCTTTTCGTCTTCCTTTGCGCTGCTTGGTGACACGTTTCTGCGCAATGCCTATGTGGTTTACGATCTCCAAAATAATCAAATCGGTCTAGCTCAAGCAAAACTCAATGCTACCGATTCAAATATTGAAGCAATCAAATCAACTATTCCCTCTGCCACTCAGGCTTCTCTCTACTCAGCTACTTCTTCTGTCGCAGGCCTTGTTTCTGCTACTTATTCTAATAAACCCCGCACTTCTATTATAGATGGCGCGTCAGGAACTATTGCGCTGGGTTCTTCCACTGGCACTGCTACTGCCACGGCCACTTCTACTTCTACAGGCAAATCTGCAGCAACTACTGTTTTGGCACCATCACCATTTTCTATGGTGTCATTGATGGTATTTTCATTGTTATTTTCTGCAGGCTTTTTCTGTTTTTTCATTTAAAGAATGAATAAAATGAATGAATTTGTTTTTATTTCATTTATTCAATTCATTTCTTTATTTTAATTTTTTTTTTCTTTCATTTGGCATATCTTTTTTTTTTTTTTAATGACCCCCCATTCTCATTTCTCTCACTCTCACATTTTTTGTGATGACGAATTCTTCTTCTATATACATGATATTTATATATAAATTAATAATAATAATAATAATAGAATTAAAAAAAAAAAAAAAAAATTATAAAGTTATTTATTCATATAGATTTTTTTTTTAATATTATACGTTGAAACCAGACTGTTTAATTGGGGTCTTTGTTAATGAGTTGTTTTGAAAAAAAAATAAAAATAAAATAAAAGGCAACGCTTTAACTGCTTACGTCACGTAACGCGTAGACAATTTTTTTTTTTTTTTTTTTCGTGTTGCTGACGAAGTCCTCCCTCCTCCATCGGACTTTCTTTTCATCCCCCACCCCCCTCTTTACTTTATTTTTTTTTTTTTTTTGTACATCCTTTTGTTGAAATTTTTGCTCCGTGATTCAATGATTTTTATTTTAAATATTTAATTTATTCATTTAAAAAAAAAAGAAAAAAAAAAAAAAAGATCAGTGTACAAGATGTGTTACAAAATTGTGTGTATTAAGTTCTCTTTATATAGGCTAGTTTAACTTGTAATTATAACTAGTTACAGTTAGGCACTATGGCCGAGCGGTTAAGGCGAAAGACTTGAATCAATTCAAGGCATCTTTTGGGATTTCCCTCGCAGGTTCGAGTCCTGCTGGTGTCGCTATTTCTTTTTGAATTTTTTATTATTTCGGATTTTTTTTGATTAATTGATTATATTCTCAAAAAAAAAAAAAAAAAATTCAAATTCTTTAAATCAATTGGAATTTTATTTTTTTTTTCAAAAATTTCAAAAATAATAATTAAATATATATATGATTAATATGAAAACTTATAAAAATAAAAAATATTTTATTATAATAATAATAATTATTTTAAGTTTTTTCACCTTTTTTTTTTTTCTAAAACACCCTTGTGATAAATATTATTTTCAAAAAAAAAAAAAAAAAAAAAAAAAAAAAAAAAAAGAAAAGGATTTTACTTCAACTGTTATTAAATTGATGAGCTCATTTTTTTTTTAATTATTCAATGTAAACATATAAACGATATATATTCTTCTTTTTTTATAAAAGTTTTAGAATTAAAAAAATATATATATAAATAATAAAAACGTAAATTATTATTGTTATCCAAATTTAAATAATAATAATAATAATAATAATAATAATAATAATAATAATAATAATAATAATAATAATAATAATAATAATAATAATAATAATAATAATAATAATAATAATAATAATAATAATAATAATAATAATAATAAAAAGAAACTTAATTATATTTGTTTTTTTCTTCATTTTTTTTTAAATAAATAAATAAATCTTTTGAATATTAATTAATATTATCATTATCATAATGATGATGATGATGATGATGATGATGATGATATTCTAATTTTAAAATCAATCACACAAGGCTGTTTGAGCAACAACTATATATAACAACTTTAAAAAGCCGTTAAATAAAAAAAAAAAACTTTAAAGAAGCTTTTAAGTTTGTTTGTTTGTTTGTTTGTTTGTTTGTTTGTTTGGTTGATTGATTGATTGATTGATTGATTGTCTAGATAATAATTGAGCAAAGGGAGAAAAATATCAAGTTTGAAAGTTTTTATTTATTTTTATTTATTTTTATTTATTTTTATTTATTTTTATTTATTTTTATTTATTTTTATTTATTTTTATTTATTTTTATTTATTTTTATTTATTTTTATTTTCCCCTTTGTTCTTTGTATGTTCTTCCGTGCAAACTTCCCGTCGCCCATTTTTTAATGAAACCACCACTTTTTTGTGCATAATCAATCAATCAATCAATAAATAAATAAAAAAAAAAAATTTTATTTTTATTTTTTTTTTTTCGCCCTGTCAAACCCAACAAGGTCAAACTATTAATTCAAATATTAAGATTCCTCAAGGGTTAGGTTTTTATATATATTTTTATTGTCACGTTATATATAGCTTATACCTTATACTTTAACCTTTGACATTTAAGTCTTAATTAATTATTACTTAGAAAAAATTTTATTTTTTTTTTTTTTTTTTTTCACTCTCTCAACTATTCAGCCAACCACAATTGCACTTTTCATTTTTTAAAAAAAAAAAAAAAAAAAAAAAAAAAAAATCCCATTTTCCATTCCATCATCACCACCACCACCACCACCACCACCGCCACTACAACAACAACAACAACCAGACAACAATGTCTTCATCAGCTTTTGGTCCCTCCAAGGCACGTCTCCTTGAGCTCTCTCAGCTCTCCAAGCGCATTTTCCGTGAATCCTTTAACCCAGACCAAGTCCGTCGTGGATCCCGCGTTTTACGTGCACCACTTAAGGGCCCTGTCATTCAAGACTATTACATGCCCAATAATTTCCTAAAGTTCAAGTACCTTAAGAAGGAATTCCCTGAACTTTATCTTGTTGACGCTAAAGAACAATATAGACTTCATATTAATCAGGACCGAAGGAGAAGAGGTAAAGGTGCCCCACAAAAGAAATCGGAACCTCCTGCAGAAGACAAGTCTGGCAAGAAGAAGAAATAAATTTAAACCATCTGTTGTTGTCGTTGTCATTATTATTATTATTATTATTATTATCGTTGTTTATAATACTATCATCCCCCCCATCATATCCTCTTTTGTACATACCACTCTTGGGGTGCTTTTCATATAAAAATAAAAAAGATAAAAATTAAAAATTAAAAAATTAAAAAATTAAAAAATTAAAAAATTAAAAAATTAAAAAAAAAATCTCTATTATATATACAATTCCCCTAAAAAAAAAAAAAAAAAAAAAAAAAAGCCACCATCAAAAGTATACCTCATCAATCATCAAATGTATCAATCAATGTCGTGTTATTATTATTATTATTATTATCAGAAAGTTCCCACTCATCTTGCTCATTCTCCAGACCACCTATTCTCAAGGTTGGAATTGAAACTCCAGTCTGTGCCAAATATCTCTTTTTCCGCTCCCGTATCTTAAGTATCTGAACCAAAAACATATCCTCAACCATTTTCTTAAACCCCCTTTCCCGCTCTTCCTTCCGTTTCTTTGCAATCTCATTAATGGTATTTTGATAATGCAAAAAATCCCGAAGATTCAAACATTGCTTGTAGTCAATATCATTATAAAATGGAAACAAAAGTAACAACCCATGGAACCGGATCCGGCCCTCGCTGTCCGCAAGTTCCAAAGCATGGTTGTAAAACTCTTCACATCGCTTTCTTCGTTCAGAAACTTCCTTCTTTGGGTAATCCCTCATAAACTTGCGAAACGTTGGAATATCAACATTTTTCCCATTCTTGCACCCAGACTTGTCCAAAATCGTCTTCACTGTCCATGGCTCCATATGAATCCGAGTCGAAAAGTACCCATCCAAAGATCGTAGAAACAACCGCAAATCTTGTGCTTGAATGTACCCCCTTGCATTTGGATCAAACATAATCCATTTCTCTTTAAACTGTCGAATCGTAGTCCGTGTGATTTGGGGTTCCTCTGGACGCGCCAAGTATCCAAATTGTTCATAAATCAATGACACAAGTAAGTTGGCAAAAATATACATGGAAATAATGTTCCACGAAATAAACAAAATATATGCATACGGCCGGCTCCCGCAATCACTAATTTTATCCCCCACATAGCAATATGGCGTTTCAAGCAAGTAATCGTTAAGAATCTGATTCCAGCCTTCACCACAACTCATCCGGAACAGCAAAACAAGCGAGTTTGGAACTGACCGAAAATTGATGGCTGTGGAACCATTCGACCCAAACTTGGTCAGCCCAAACACTTGGTTAAAGGCAATTCCAAACACAAAATACAAAACAGCCCATACAAGAAGCAAATGAAACATATTAGGGATCGATGCCGCAGCCGTCTTAAGCAGTTGATCCAAGCGTCGACTATATGGGATAATCAGTAGCAAAACACCAACGTAAAAAAGCTTCTCCAAAATCGAAAACCAGTAATATTCAGTCGTGAAAAAGGCTGCAATCTTTAACCCACATGAAATGCCAGAAACAATAAACGCATAAAGATCCCACTTGCGTCGAAAATATTGCTTGGGTCCAAATGCATAGCACTTAAGTATTAGGAAAATAAAATATGTAAATAGGAAAAATGTCAAAAAGGACCACCGAATAATACGCGGACCTTCAAGAAGAGGATAGTACTCAGACATAATCACACTTGCTATTCCAATAAGATTTAACAACATGCACATGTGGATCCATGAATATTGCCGGACGAAAAGTTTAAATAGCTTATACCGAAATGTCCCAGGTAACAACCCTGGAGGTCTGATTGAAGGCCGTACAGTCTTAATTGACTTCTCCAGTTCGTACCACATTAGTTGTTGATCTGTAAAGTAAGCACTACCAGATGACTTTGCATAGTTTTGAATAATGACAGAAAGGAATAATGTCAAAATGAAAATAGTCGAAATGGTATTATAAATAACAACAAATATTCCATATACATTGTAAGAATTGAACTCAGGCTGTGTGAAATTATCATGAATAGACATTGCAGAAACCAAAATATCAACCCAACCCTCAAGTGAAATGATTTCGAAAAGTGCAAGAAGAGAGTGGCCAAAAGTATCAAAGTCATAGTAAGGATTGGAAATAACACGAGGGCTTAAAACGTCCCAGTTAAAAGGCGAATTTGCAAACTCACCAACACACCCATTAAGGGACCCAGAAAAATTGGTGTCATTACATGAAAACATCTTCCCACGAAAAAGGTTAAGCCCCCAAACTGAAAATGGGAATAAAAGAGAAAGTGCAACTATGGATGCTGAAAAAAGCTTCCAAATTCCCACAATAATAATACTGTGGAAAAGCTCTTGGGCTCGAGAATTTATAGTCAAAAGACGCAAAGCTCTTAAAGCCTTGAAAGCCCGAATGATGCGCGAGTTAAATGCATGGGAAAGAAGCTCTTGTGCAAGATTGGCAATAAGCGTGCACCAAACGAAAAAATCAATCACACCCCATACTTGGCGCAGGTACGCATTGGGCGTAAATAAAAGTCCATCAGCAATAACCTTGACAACAACCTCAAATGTGAAAATAGACAAAAAGACTGTCTCAGTTATGACATACCAATTCATACCCCTATTACCTAAATTTTCATAGTAATAAATCGGAGTAACAATAACAGCAACAACAATGAGCCCAAAAGTAGCCGCAATCATTACCCCCCAGAAAATATTCCACATGATCGTGGGCTCAGTCTGACCTTCAAAACGGGTTCCATATCCAGGTGGAACAAGATATTGGCAAAACCGGCGCAGCTTGTTATCAACAGAAAAAATCCATAACGACTTGTTGTAGTTAGGATCCTTTTTAATCTGGTCCATCTGATCCTGTCTCATCTCCCTAATATATGAAACATATTCCTCGGGAGAATTAAATTCCTGCATTTCGATATTATTTTTAAATAGTTTTTTGTAAACCCGCTGAAATGGGCCAACTATAGTCCAGAAAAGCGACACATCTGATTCGGTAAGTACAGTGGCTTGATTTGGCGACTGGGTAAGATTGCCAAATTCATCAGATTGAATTGGTGTTAATTCTGACTCTGTTTCATCATTACCCAAAAAGTTATCCAGATGAGATTCTTGAAACATTTCAACAACACGCTCAAACATCGCCTTATCATCTTCAGGGCGTTGAGAGTGTGGTACAATAAATCGGAAAAAAAACCTAATACCATGCTTGGTCTGATCAGTATTGCCCTCCTGGCGCTGCACTTCTTGTTTGAAAAACATAAACACTTGCTCCATTTTTTTGGTTGCTACTGATAGCTCCAAGTTTTCACTCAGTACAGCAATGAACATATTAATGGTGACAAAGTTCGACATGATAAACCAAGCAATAAAAAATGCTGCAACAAAAATTCGTGAAAAAACTGAACTTGTAAACTGAACTGAATTGTACAAAATAGTCGTCCAGTTTTCTGTAGAAGAAATAATGTACATGGCCAAAAAAGAGTTTGCAAGCGTCCGGAATGTCCAAACGTTGCCACCGCCCTCTTCTTCCGTAGGAATGACACCTTGAAGAAGCAAACAACCAAGAACACTTGCAAGATAAACAAACAAGTAGTAAAAAATTGTAATATCAAGAATGATTCGAGCCTGTGTCAAAACACGAGTCCAAAGTTCGCGAATGAATTTAATAGCAAGAACACATCGATAAAAACGTACAATCTGGAAACATGTCAGCCAGTAATAAAGATTTTTCTTGTTATAAACAAATGGCAGGATGATGATAATGTTAGAAATCGCTAGCAATAAATCAATAAGATTGTGTGAGCTGGTAAAGAAAAATCCAATCTTTGGAATGTATGTAAGAAAACGAACTAAAATTTCAAAAGCCAAAAAGGTTGCAACAAATATTTCCCAGTGATAAACATTCTCAATATGACCAGGATTTGAAGTATATGCAACAGTTGATTGCACCACAAGATCAGCTGTAATCACCACAAGAGGTATTTCACGAAGGTAATGGTAGATTTTGCCAATCCTAGAACGGCAAATATAATTGATATGTCTGTTTCTGTGTCTGATGAGTCTAGCAATTAGGGTATCAGCATCAACATTATCATTGAAATCAGTTCTAACAGCTTTAAATGAAGCTGCAATGACGGAAATAAACAAACTGGCAAGGCCATAGGCAAGAAGAATAACACCAATCACAAAATAAATGGACGAAAAAAGATGCTCTGCATCTACAATGTAGTACATAAGATCGGAAAAAGTGTTAAGTGACATGATAACAAAAACCAGCTCTAAAGAGTTAAAAATATTGTCAAAACTAATGGTGTTCCCGTAAGGGTTGCTTTGCTGTTTACAAATGCTATTAACGGGACATGTGAACCCCTTAGCAGTTGTAAATAAAGTACCGTCTGATTTTTCAAATGGCAAACGCTCTAAAGTGGTCGGGTCAATGTAACTTCCACAAAAAACAAGTTCATTGTTATAGGTATCAGAAGAATTTGTGGGATTTATCCAAAGACAAGTTCTACTAAGAGACTCGTGGAAACTCTGTGTACCAATGATTGAAAACAACGTCCTAAAAAAAAAAAAAAAAAAAAAAAAAAAGTTAGGTCGGAATAACAAAACGTAAAAAAAAAAAAAAAAAATCTCACCAGAAAAATGCAATAAATAAAAAAATGGTCCAGATTCTCGATGCACCAACTTTTAAACTGCGTAAGATAAGGGCTGTTCTGCGCGTGATGTTTAATAAGCGCAGAATGGGAAGACCAGTTAAACATCTAAAGACGTAGAGTTCAAGACGCTGTGCTGTATTGTTTGCTTGAAGTCCAAACGATATCCAGTAAGAAATGATTGCAATAAAATCAATACGAGACCATGTAGTGCGAAGATACGCCCGTTCTGGGGCTGGTATCGTGATTGGTTTGTCAAAATTGATATTTGGTGTGCGGTGAAGTCTATTTGCTGGATCGTTAAACGATTCACTACTTGAAAAAGAATTAGAAGCAAGTCTGTGTTTTTCATCCTTAAAAATTTTAGGAGCAGACATGAGTGTGTGCTTTTTAGAATTAAAGGTAAATGTGAGTGCCGAGTTTTTGGAGTCAAAAATAAGACCAACAGCAATGGCACTTATAATAGCTGTGAGCGTGTAAAAAATAAAAATGCCTAGAATAACCCAGTCATATACTTGGTGATGGAAAACTGTCATGAATAACCTATCGTTAGGGGAGTTCGGCCCTCCATCATCTGGTGCTGTGAGAGCTGTAAGAACACCCAGGTGAGCGATTAGAACGAGAAGGAAAAGGGTTTTGAACCAACGCCGAGATACTACTTTGTGATAAAGGAAAAGTCTTAACCGATTGTCCTTGGAAAAGATTCCAAGTGAGTAGCCAAAAAGCTCGACTTTGGATGGCCGGGGAGGTATTGTGTCTCCACCACCGCCTCCACCACCGCCAGCAGTAGCTAGTGCTGGAATCGGTATCGTTGAGGTTCCTGATCCAACTGAATTAATTGGAGAAACATTTAAGTCTGTGACAATGCCAGCAGACATTTGGCCTTGGCTATCTTGGACAACACCATAACCTGGAGAAGTCAGAGATTGTGAAGTTGAGGGGCTAATCGAGGGAGCTATAAGCCCGGCAATAGAGTCTGTAGAAGTGGAAACAGCAATACCATCAGGGTGTTCATACCGTACCAGTGTGTTTGGAGATAATGGCGTAAGGGCGGCTGAATCGTCGTCCGTAAGGTCTGCATCAGTATCTTCAACACTATTGTAACTATGAGCTGGAGACGACGGTCGTTCAGGAGGTAAAGAGAGGCCTGAAGCGTCACCAGTAACAATACGGTTGGAGAACTTGTTGACTGCACGCGAAAATGCACTTCCTTGAATGTTTTCGTCTACAGCAGGCGAGCCTGGTCGTGAAGATATTAGGGCTCCTGAGCTCAATCTGCTTGTTACTTGGCTTCTCCCAGAAGAAGAGCTTTTGCGTGGAGTTGTTACTGATGATGTACTAAGTCTTGATATGCGGACAGGTGATGTTGACCGTGGCTGTTGTGGCTGTTCTTGCTGCTCTTGAAGAGAAAATCGCACGCGATTAGTGGAGCTTGGAAGCGCTGTATGTGAAAGAGCCGGCATTGGGGGTATTATTGTGGTTGGAAGAGCTGCAGCCGGTGTAACTGTGGAAATAGGAGTATGTTCAATCATCCCGATGGATTCTTCTTCGTCTCGAGATAAATAATCTGTGGTTTCATTTGGATCATCAGGATAAGGCAGCTGAGAGTGTGGGTTTTGCGATAACCATGAGTCTTGAAAGCCTCCAGAGCCTAAGAGGTTGCGGAGCCCTGTGACAAGATCAATATTCTGGTCATCACGGAAAATGGCCGAAGGCTCCGACATGGCCTCAATAGCAGCAGCACCTTCGGTATCACTGTGAAGAAGATAAGAGTGGCGGGTGTGGCTACTGTTTCTATTGTTTCTATTGTTGTCCAAAACACCTGTTGCTGTTGCTGTTGCTGCGATATTTGTGGGGAGTGTAAGTTCAGGGATTCGGTCAACCGAAGGATATGGAACATGATGCTGGGCTCTGGGAGGCGACCGAGTCATGTATTGAGGTGGGTCATATGCAGTATTAGCGTTAAAGTCCAATCTTTGCTGGTCATTTTGGTCATTTTGGTCATTTTGGCCTGTTTGGTTTGCTTGGTCTATAAAAGGGTTTGTGTTTTGGTGCATAACGGTTGAGGAAAAAGTTGATAATGGGACATCTTGGAAGCCATTTGCAGAGTATTCGTTATTCAAATACTCGTGAGTATTAGCATCACCGGCAGAACTGTTGTGCCGCCGTCTAAACGGGTTGCTGTAGCTCATATTGAATAGTTTTTTGGAGGTTTGGAAGAAGTTTGGAGGAGTTTATAAAAAAAAAAAAAAAAAAAAAAAATGGGAAAAGGAGGCTTGTTGGCTGCTAGACTTAACTGGCTTTGCATTTTGGCTGGCTGGTTGGCGGCGGTGCATAAAGAAACGATTGAAAAAGCACTGCCACGGTGGTGGGGGGGGAAACCCACTAGTTAGGGCACATCCGGCAGTCGGTATTAAGACAGGGCTGTATTTAATATATAAAAGTTATTTAGTTCCCATAAAATAAAATCTTCATTCTTTCATTAAGCCCAAAATAAGTTATAATAAGTACACCAGTACATAGGAAGCAGCAGGAGCGGCAGCAGTAGTATCGAGGTATGTAAACACAGCAGCAGCAACAACAACAACAATAACAACAACTCACACAACCACTTATTCACAAGTAAAGGTCTTACCACACACTCATACACCAAATATGACGGTTGTACGAATATATTGGCCGACAAACGCGCTGGCTCATGATTCTCCGGCTGTGGCCATTGGCTGGCGAAATGGACCAGAGGACTTGGTGGTGGTCACGACGCTTCCACGCGTCGCTCCGGCCGTGGCTGCGTCTTTGCTGGCCTCAGACGCTCTGCTAGCCAACTACCACCTGCCTCCCGAGCAAATCTATTCCATCTGTGGGGTCTCCAGGTTATCTGTTCTTGGGACAGTCAACATGGAAAAGCCAGACTTGCAGGGGGATCCTGCATTATTCTCAGCAGAAATCAAAGCCGACTCAAAGTACCCTGTGCTTCACTATTGCCCAGATCACACATATGCACAGGTCATTTTGTTTGATCCGCCACTATCATACAGATTGCAATACTTTGCACTTCATCCTCCTTCTCTAGAGCTCCCAGAAAAGGCTTCGTTCACTGTCATTTCAGAGCAACTGGAAAAGTCACTAGTGGACCAGGAGCTCGAAACACAAGAGCTTTGCGCGCGAGTCAAGAGCCACGCTGAGTATTCTCAACAAGATCTTGATAACCGCTCACGTATTTTACACAACTGCATTGCACAGCTTAATACATGTCGGGATTTAGGAGCTGCATTACGGAAACAATCCACATCACAAGTCTTGGAGAACCGGCCACAACATTGGCAAGGCCCACGAGCAATTTCGAGGTTTCTCAGCCGTCTTTTAATATACATTGTCTGTGGTCTCCGGCTTTGTGCTGAAACAGCGCTGGTCTTGATAGAATGGCGACCAACGTCTCCCCAAGGCCATTGGCATGCATTCAAGGAGCTCTCAGCAACTGCACAGCAGATTGATCTCCGATTGCAACAGTTTTGTTACTGGCCCGTACAATATCTGCGGATCAGACAGCAGTCTCAAGACTGGACACGAAACTATGCTGCATTTAACGTTGAATACGTTTTGTTTTACAATAGCATCTGGCTTATTATTAACGACGTAATCATCGGAATTACCATGGCAAAACTTCTGCTTGAGTTCCGAGTAGACGTGTGCCAGCAATTATCTCGTGTTGTTGATTTGCTAACCCTCGATTTTGAGCGGACCATTCTATGGCTCATGGATTGGCCTGGAGGTCTTAAACTCAATAATGAACTAGCTGCATTTTTCGGCGGACTTTTCATTTGGGTTGTTCAGTTTTGGCGAGTTGCCCTAACTCTGCTAAGACCATTTTTTTCATCCATGGTTCTCGTCGTTGCCTACTCTGGATTTGGCGGTGCAACACTTTTACTTTCACTCGTCTCAGACCTTGTGTCTCTGGCAACAGCCCATGTTTACGCCTTTTACCTGGCCTCGGGCCGCATCTACCACTGGCAACTAACAGTGCTGCGCTCGCTTTTTCATCTTTTCCGTGGGAAAAAACGCAACGTGTTGCGAAACCGTGTCGACTCGTGCACTTATGAACTGGACCAGTTGCTCATGGGTACTATCTTTTTCACCTCTTTGATATTTCTATTGCCAACTGTCTTGGTATTCTACTTGACTTTTGCTGCTTGCCGATTCGGCATTATTCTCGTCAATGCCCTGCTGGAATCATGCCTGGCATACTTAAATCATTTCCCATTATTTGCAATTATGCTTTACTTTAAAGATTATAAGCGATTACCTGGTGGAATATCATTTGTTCCTGTCGACACCATAGCATCTGTCAACAGTACAACAACAAACTATGTTTACCTGAAACCTCGACCATTGCCATTTTCCACAATTTTTTTCCAATACCGGCTACTCTATTCACGAATTCGCTTTTGGTATCTTTCATTTCCCGTCATTATCCGGTTGCTATCGGGTCAGTTTGTCCCCATCCAGCGGTCACAGCTTTATGCCCTGCTCTACTCTAAGCTGCCTAAAGAACGTGTCCCTACCACAAAATTGTATCAGGATTTATTAGCTCAATTATAGAAGAATAATAAGAATAAAAATAAGAATAAAAAAAATCTCATTTAGAGAAATTTCTCCGTTTTCTCTAAATATTATGTTATATTATATATATATATATATATCATATATATAAAATAGTAAATAACCGTCATATATTACTTGGGAAGAGTTTGCTCGTTGCGCTTCTTCTGTTGGATTTTAGCAATCGAGTACAGAACACCCGAAGCAAAACCCAAAGCAATGGCCGTCACGGAGTAGAAGGTGACGGGAGTATCAAAGAAGATAAGACCCGAAAGGGCTACGGGGAGCTTGTTAAGAGCACCCGTCATACTGTAGGTGGTGGAGGAAGTGACACGCACACACCAACCAGAAGTGTAAGAAATACCAAGCGAGAAGAATCCCGAAAGAATCATAAGGAAGATGACCGTGTTCTTGTACTCAGGAGGGAAGTTCTTGGCCACGTTTTCAGCGGACCAGTCTTCAAAGAGCAAAGAGCCAACCAAAAGCACAGGGATGGCCAGGAGGTTGTTGTAGTACATGGTGTCCAAGTCGGAAAAGTTAAAATATTTAATGCGCTTGCGCAAGAAGAGGACAAAGCCAGCGTTGGACAAGCAGTTGCAAAACATCCAAAGGTAGCCGATGTGAAGACCGCTGAAGAAAGAAACAGCCTCAGTAGAGGTTTTGGCGGCAGCCTGGGCAGCGATGGAAAGATCGGACCAAGCAGCGACAACAGAGGAAAGGACAATGACGATAAAGGAGAAGAGAGTGAGAGGAGTGACCTCACCACCAAACCAAATGACTTCACCGTAAGCAATGAGGATGATAGTGACATTCTTAAAGATGGTGAAGACTGGAATGGAGAGGTATTGCATGGCCTTGGACGCGGTGTAAATCATTAGAACCAAGAGGACTGAGATCGGGAACCATTTCTTGGCTTCAGAAGCGTTGAAATCACGGAACTTGACAATTCCGAAGGCCTTGAGGGCTTGAATGAAAAGCAGACAGACAAGCGACTGAATAGCAAGCAGAATGCAGTTGAAGTTGAAGTATCCGACAGAAAGCACGTACTTGTTTGTGACTGTCATCAGAATGGACGACGCGCAGTATGCAAAGATTGCGATTGGCGGCGAGTTTGTGATGGACGAAAGGGCACTGCCAGCGGGCACCTTTGGCTCATCTTCAGATTTCTTATCGGGATAGGCCATTGCTGAATGGTGTTTATTGGGGATGAGGGTATAAGTTGGATGGACGGTCAGATGGCAAAAGGAAAGAAAAGAAAGAAGATTGCAAATTCCACAGCAGCAATTTTGGCAGAAAAAAAAAAACAGCATTCGAAGGGCCCCCTTGGGCGGGAGACACGTGACAAGACCCCTTTTTCAATGTAATCATTTTTTTGGGTATTAGCTACACGTTATTACATTCCTATGTAAAGAAACCTCCACGTAGCATTATTATTATTTTTATAATTATAAATATCATCACTATCATCATTATTAAATGTCTTGTACAAGTAGTAATATATTAATTAATTAAATCAAGTCTGGTAATATAACAAAGCTAATTACATTAAACCATACACACACATAATCATAAAAGAAGGCACCAACTATGACTACAGTGCCGCTAACATCCATTGCCTCCTGGGATGAAGCATTTGTCAACTATTCGGTCCCAGAAATCAGAATCCTCAATGATGACCTGCGTGCTCTCGCAGCTGCAAAAAAGACACAGCTCCGCGACCTGGTCGGAAACAGGTACCGTGATATGCTAAAAACAGCAGACATCATCGTGTCCATGGATTCGGTTGTCGCGCAAACTGACACCGCGCTTTCGGGTCTCGTAACTCACGGAGGAAGCTCGTCTATGGCATGGGAAGCACATGAACGTTGTTTTTCGCGCTTTGTTGACGCAATAGTACCCGGAGGAGACTTGACCATACGTAACAATAACAACAAATCGGGTTCTATCCCAAGTCACGGTGCACGTCGCCAACATCTTCAAGATACCGCTGCTTCTCAGTTATTAGCGGCCTCACTTTCATTCATAAAGCGCAGACTCAATTCGCCAGATCTTGGTTCAGATGATCACGGGTTTCTTGTCATTGCTCGAAGCTTAGGTCTCGCGCAAATGCTCAGCAATAAGACCACCAATCCCGAACTGCGACGCTTACACGCCCAATTCGACGAAATTCTCACTGCGTTATTACTTGATGGCCGTGGCTCCAGCGATGTTGTTTCTTCATCCACATCAAATACTCTGTTTTTGGCCTATGCTCATTTACACAGACTTGCACCAGCAGTTGTGCTCGAGCGTGTTTTAAAAGCCCGCTTAAAGTATATTGAAACTAAGCTTCGCGACTCTCCAGCTCCAACAATCCTCCCGACTCTTTTGACTCTTGTTGCATCAACTATTGCCATTGCTCAGCGTGCATTTTCTAAAAACTCAGTTCCTCACGCAATTCAAAAACAAACAGATGTTTATGCTCTTCTTGACGTCCCAGAACTTGCCGACGACATTGAGCTCAAACTACCCAAGTACCGCGCTTGGTTACCTGATGCTGTTCGCTCCGAGCGTGCTTTCCCAGAAGAGTGTCTTGAAGGAATCACTCGGTCAACTAAAACTGCTCAGTATCTTAAAAACCAGCTACACCAGTTTGCCAATGGTGCTGTCGAAATTTTTGAAAACCACGTCCCTAAACTTGTCTCCAACGTTTCTTCTCTCGAGTCTCTTGTAGATCTCTACAAGTCTGTATTTGAAGCAGCCCGTGATACTGCAAGCATCCGCAATCTTTCAAGCACAGATGGCAAGTCCTTTTACCGAGACGTTTTTGTTCCTGCTTGGACAAGCTCATTCCACTCGGCAATTGAAGCAGCTATCACACAACTCCTTGCCCAAGAACCAGCACTTAGATCCATTCACTCAAAGCTTTTGAGAAGCGCAGACAAACAAAATGCAACAAGTGTACATACAGACTCACTTTTTTCTGCAGATTTTGCGGCAGATTTACTTGCCAGTCACCGCGGCTACGCATATGCAGAATCGCTTTTCGGCGCTCTTGAAGATTATGCTTCAGGCTCACGAGGACTCATTCGACCAGTCGCCCACGAGTATCGCGACTGGCTGGCTACTGTGTCGGCAACCAAAGACCATGTCGATGCATTTGGCAAACTCAAAACACACCTTGCACTGTCGTTTGGAATAGACCTCGATGGCGGGGTTGACGATTTTGATGATGATGACATGGGTGACGCGTGGCGGACAGACGAGCGCGAAAGCATAACAAAAATTCACGAGGCTGCTGCGCGTCATGTTGCGCAAACACTTGCTGCAGTCCATGAGGACATGCTGTCTGAAGTGCGCTCGCTCCTATCAAAAACTGGGCCATGTGTTGGTGCCATTTTGGTCCTCATTCGATCTACGCTACTTTTTGCCCGTGACTTTGAAACTGTTCCAGATACGGACGCGTCTGCAGTTTCTGCCCGGCACAAGGCTGTTGATGAACTGTCACTTGAATTGTTTGTGCATTTGGCAAATGCGCTTGCTTCAAAGTCCCAAGTTCCAGCCTTAAAAGTCAAAGAGCACATCATGGCCGACTCCGGGCTTTGGGCAGACCCCAGTGTGCCTGATGGCCCGTCGTTAGGAACACTGCGGTACCTGACCGAGCTTGTTGATAGAATCAGTGGAGATGTTGGGCGTGATGCGCTTGTTTGGGGTCATGAGGAAGGCGCCAAGGTTGTTCGAAAGGCCGTTGGTGAAGCCATCTTGGAACGACTACAGGAGGTTTACGAGGAGATTCAAAAGGTTAAAGAAGAGCCCAAAGAAGAAACCCAGGAGGAACCCAAAGAAGGACCCAAAGAGGAACCCCAGGAGGAATCCAAAGAGGAATCCAAAGAGGAATCCAAAGAGGAATCCAAAGAGGAATCCAAAGAGGAATCTAAAGAGGAGCACAAAGAAGAACCTAAAACAGAATCTCAAGAGCCTGAATCTCAAGAATCAGAATCGACTAAATCTGAGAGCAAAGAATCAGAAACTTTGGCTGAGACCTCGGAGCCTTCTTCTTCTTCTTCTTCTTCCTTCTCGCAAAATTTCTTGGAACAACGAACTCAAGCTTTACTCCAACTTACAGCAGATACATATTATGTAGCTGCACTGTTTGACATACCAGCCGATTCAGGAACGGCGGCCGCGTGTCTTGCTGCCTTAGCACAAGACGCCCGTGCCGGGCCCGGGGTCTCCACAAACATCACCGACATAGCTCGCTACGCGCATGAACAAGTGACCCGTACAAGGGTCCTGTACCTGCCTCTTGCTCTGTAAAAATGTATAATATAGTTGATAGTTGTTTAATGTATACAAAATCCACTTGTATTTTTAATTTCTTTTTTATTTATTTTTTCTTCTTCATTAAAGTCCACAATTTTTTTCTTTCAAAGTTATACTGCTGCTACTGCTTCTACTACTGTCACTGCTGCGACTGCTGCTTAAAACTTTTGTGTCTAATGTCGTAATTGTACTTATAAGTACTTAGCCGCGCGCGGGTGGAGAAGACCACGCTGTCCTATTGGCCAGAAACCTTTTGGCGTTTGTTATTTTTTTTATTTTTATTTTTTTTTTTTTGCTAAAGCGGGACATAAAAAAAAATTAAAATTGAAATTGAAAGACCGTCAACAAGGGCATTTGAAACCTGGGATTTTCGTTCAAAGTGTATAATGATAAAAAGAATAATATATAATATGTAGTAAAAGTAATAATATTCAAAAAAAAAAAAGTACCTGCCGGATCGCCCGATTATTATTTAGTCCAAAAAAAGTATGAAAATCAACTCGAAATGAGTTGCTGAGCCGATCCCGCAAGATGCGATGGTAATCCACTCGCCCCATCAGCGTCCTGCTTGAGCGCGCCGCCCGCGGGGCCCAGCGGCAGACCAACCAGTCCGTCTGCAAAAGAGGAAGAAGAAGAAGAAGAAGAAGAAGAAGAAGAAGAAGAAGAAGAAGAAGAGTTATTATTTGAAGAGGCTGTTGAAGGAGAGGATGTGGATGCTGATCCTATTCTGTTAACGGTCACATCGCCAGGCCTGCTGCTCTCATTAAGTTGTTGACGGACATTTGCTTCGTTAGATTGTTGTTGATGGTCATTATTATTATTATTATTAGTATTATTATTGGTATTATTATTATTGTTGTTGTTCGTGTCTTCGTTAATGTTATTGCTGGTATTGCCACCATTGGTATTTTCATTAGATCTGTCGTTTGAAAACAGCGGTTTATTGCTTGTAGGATGTAAATTTAACAGAGGTTCGGCCATCGTGATGTTTCCGTTTGACGAAGAGGTCCCATTATTTGAAATCTCCGCGCCGTTACCATTCCTTGTTGTTCCTGCTGCCGCCATCGCCGCGCCATTTTCTTGCTCGCCCATATTTCTGCCATTACTATCCTCACTCCCAGGTGCTTCTTCTGATCCCCCCTCTTCTTTTAATCGACGGTCTTCAGCTTCCTTGCGCTCACGTTCAGCTATTTCTGCAGCAGTCAAAAACCGACCACCTTGCCCACGCGGCCGTCGCATAGCGTGCTTGTGCCGGGACTCGTGTAAATATGGCCGTCGACCACGAGCCACATTGAGTGATTCTTCAAGCTTTGCACGGGCTATTCGTCGCTTGAGAATTCGGTGGTACTGCTTTGCATTGACGTAAAAAGGTTGTTCTGCGGCTTCTCCAGAGTTGTCCATTTTGTGTGGAGAGAGGCTGGGATGATACAAATATTTGTTAAATCAATTTTATCAAAAAAAAAAAAAAAAAAAAGCGTAAGCTGGATTAAAAAAAAAAAAAAGATTTCAATATAGCTATAAATAAAAGAAGAAATCTATTTTAATTTTTTTTTGTTTCAATGAGATTCTTCTTTAAAGGCCCAAATATATTTGTAAAAAACTTGTATAATTTTTTTTTTTTTTTTTTTTGTGTGTGCCATAAAAAAAAAAAAAAAAAAAAAAAAAGAAGAAAATTTAAAAAAAATAAAAAACGCGAGAAAAGAAATAAATCAAAACTGACTAAGCAGCACGTGATATATTACAAACAAAATATTATTACACAATTATATTACATACATATATGACATAATAATAATAGTAATAATTAAAACCGGGTAACATGGCTAGGTATCTTTCAATTTTTTTTTTTTTTGTTACATTTTCTCTACCTAAAAAATCAAGCTTATCAATCAGTTTATTGAAAAAAAAAAAAAAAAAAATTAAAAAAAAATTCTCTCGAGGCTTCCAGCAAATTCTCAACTGTTCTAAGTCTTTCCTATAAAAGAACCTAGAAATCCTTTCGATGTCTTCAAAACATCCTATAGATAATTTTAATTCTGATCCATCTAAAAAACAAAAAACAATGGCTGATACTATAGAAAATTCAAACGCTGCCACTGCTTCTACCACACAGGCTGAGCCTACCGATACTACTACTACTACTACTACTACTACTACTACTACTGATGAACATCCTGAAAAGTTCTTCAAGACCGTTAGCGAGACTGTCGAGGGTCTCAGAGACACTGGTGCTGAAGATGCTGAAGGTCACCCAGTTCAAGAAATTGAATCCATGTGCATGAATTGCCACAAAAACGGTACTACTCGAATGCTTCTCACATCTATCCCTTATTTCCGTGAAATCATCATCATGTCCTTTAGCTGCCCTCATTGCGGTTTCCGCAACTCCGAAGTTCAAGCTGCTGGTCAGATTCAAGAAAAGGGCTGTAAATATACCCTTCGTGTCGAAACACCCAAGGACTTGACACGCCAAATTATCAAGTCTGACTATTGTGCATGCAAGTTTGCAGAACTCGACATTGAAATTCCTGCAAAGCGTGGCCAGATTTCCTCCGTTGAAGGTCTTTTGAATCAAGTTAAGGAAGATCTTGAAGGTGATCAACCTTCTCGTAAGACCACTGATGAACATCTTTACAACCAAATTCAAGAAGTCATTGAAAAAATTAAAGCAGCAATTGCAGGACAAACACTTCCTCTGACTGTCATTCTTGATGATCCTTCAGGAAACTCGTGGATTGAGTTTGTCCCCGGTGAAGCTTCTCACAAATGGTCGCACGTTGAGTACTTCCGCTCAAACGAACAAAATTCTTTCCTTGGCCTTGATGTGGCATCGGGATCTGATCAACCACAAGAAACTAATCCCTCCGGTGCTTATGCCATGCAAACTTCTTCTCTTAACGATTATGTCCCCATGGGTACTACTGCTTCACAACAGACTGATAAGCCATCAGGTCTCCGCAACCAATCTGAATCTGCCCATGTAGCTTCTGCTGCCGAGGAAGACATCAATGGTGAAGTCCACACATTCGAAGTACCATGTCCTGTGTGCCACTATATTGCTCCTACCCATATGAAGGTTGTCAACATTCCCCACTTTAAAGACGTTATTCTTATGTCTCTGTCCTGTGACAAGTGCGGCTACAAATCTAACGAAATCAAAACCGGCGGTGCTATCCCAGCACAGGGCCGCAGAATCACACTTAAGGTCACCGACCCTGATGACCTTTCCCGTGATATCCTTAAATCAGAGACTGCCGGTCTTAAGGTTCCAGAATTACATCTAGATCTGACACCAGGAACTTTGGGTGGCCGTTTTACGACTCTTGAAGGTTTGTTGCGCCAGGTTCATGATGAACTCGAAACAAAGGTCTTTTCTGAAACTTCAGACTCTATGGAAGTTGAAACCAAAACTAATTGGACAAGATTTTTGAACCGTCTGGAGGAAGCAACAGATGGAAAAGTTGAATTTACCGTTGAGCTTGAAGATCCTTTGGCTGGCTCATACATTCAGAATCCCTTTGCTCCTGATCCAGACCCAAATATGACTGTTGAAGACTACGACCGTACTTTTGAACAGAACGAGGATCTGGGTCTCAACGATATACATGTTGACAGCAACCAACCCACTGAAACTACAGGAAACTAATTTATATTTATTTTTTATTATTGGCAAAAATATATTAATGACTAATTTATTTCTTCTCTTTAAATCTTGGTTGTAGGAACTTGAATCGTAGCAAGAAGACCCAACAAGGCGGTGCCTAATAACCCAACAAATCCCAGGGTCATTTTCACGGCATACCATGTTTCACGCTTCTTTTTATTATACTCGCGCTCAAACACAATGATGCCTCCAGGACCACCACCTCCAACAATAGACCAGCCCTGCTTTTCCAGCCGCATAATTGACTTGATATACTTTTCAGGACGCTCAATGTTTGATAACGTCGTAAACAAGTCTCGTGCAGGAGGCGGGGTTCCATAGGGAGAATCCTGGATTGGTGGGTAGTTAGTTCGAATGACCTTTTGAGCTGGTGTGAGTAACGCGTACTCCTTTGCCAAAGGTTCGCCAGAACTGCCACTTGTAGACCAAAAGCTGTCGACATACACAGGCGTGAAGAAATTTTTATTTCCAAGAGTTCGGGCCTTTTCACGATGAGCAAAGACTTCTTGTGAAAAACTAAACGCATTGGCCTGACGGAAGCGGTCATTGTCAGCACGGACGCGGTCAGCTTGTGCAAGACCTAGCGTTGCGTCAAGTTCTGCAATATCAGCATCGCTCAATTGTTGAGCCGCAGCTTCTCCAGATTCATGCTTGGTGTCATTCTCATCAGTATTGTCACGGTACCGGCTGCGGATATCAAGCGGCATGAGCTCTTCAATGTCCAAATCTTCCTTGACCACTCGTTCTCCGGAAGGCTTGATACGGTCACGAGTAGAGGGGCGGCCTTTGAATCCAGGGCGAGAAAGAACAGATTCGTCAGACATGAAGGTGAGAAGTCGCTCAAGGTCGACATCGGCACTGCGGTAATGTCCCAAAAGACCAGAGGATGTACTCTTGGGATCAAGGGGGGAAGATTCAGGCTTTACAAAGGGTGATGTAGATTTGGCAGATTCAGAAGGTTTGGTAGGCTCAACAGGTTTAGCAGATTCAGTGGGCTTGACTGGTTCAACAGGGTCCACAGAATGAAGAGATTTTGCGGGTTGAGCCGTTTCTTTAGACTCAGTGTGCTTTGAAAACCGTGTCACGTCAGGCTCAGTAGTATTGTCAAATTTCTTTTCAGATACCTGTTCAGTGATTTGAGAATTGACAGGTTTGGGTTCTGGTGACACAGATTGCTGTTGCTTCTGAAGCTTCTCAATTCCGTTAAACTCGGTACTCGAGGGGCTAGTAGAAGTTTCAGCCTTAGGTCTGATTTTACGCTTCTTGGGCTCTGGTTCCGGGCTCTGAGTCTTTTCGGGTTCCGGTTTAGGCTCAGCAGCCTGGGGCCGAATCTTCTTGCGTTTGCGCAGGGTAATCAAGTCAATTTCGTAATCGTCGTCATCTTCCTCAGTACTGGATTTCCGGGATACCGGGGTTTCAGAGGCCTTATTATTTTTAGGATTACTGGATGCTTCTTTGAAAAAGGAAGAAGAGTTTGATGTCGCCTGCGACCAGTTCTTATCTTTATAAGATGCGCGCCGGGCGTGGTTCACACGAGCATGGTGGAACCACCGCGAGGGAGCCCATGAGTCATGAGAAGCATCTCTGTTAGAAGCTGAAGTGCGACGCTGACAATATAAATAATTCCAGCCCGAAGCGACGTGATATTTAGACTGAAACTGGAGTAGAGCCCGATGGCGCCGCAGAATGTGTTCCTTCAGTGTAGACAAGCCATCAGGGACTGGAGATCTATGGGCCCACCAGTGGTTCAAGTTGTGTCTCCTAAGAGGCCTAGAAGCTGAGGATCTGAAAAATAGTTTCCAGAAACCAGTCATCTGTAAAGACATTAGTGTTTTGTAATATTGATGATAGTAATAAAGATAAATTAGAGAAAGAGAGAAAGAGAGAAAGAGAGAAAGAGAGAAAAAAAAAAAGTAGTTGTAGGTAAGAGTAAAAAAAAAAGTTTGATGGGATAATAACGTGTGGCGATAAGGCCATAATCTTATTATGCACGGTTGTACTATGAGATACGAACCAACAACATCCTTTTTATTTAATTTTTTTTTTAATTATTTATTAACTCCTTTATTCAATTATATTCGTTATTTTCTCGAATTTTCAGTCTTGTCACCAGAACCCTTCTCAGTCTCGCCATCAGCTCCTTCTGCCTTAGGTGTGTCGGCACCAGCAGCGTCAGATTTGGATGTATCCTTCTTCTCACCAATGGCTGAACTCTTTCTATTTTCTATCTTATTCTCAATCAGGTTGTGGAACGCAATAATGGCTCTCACCAGACTGCTCAAGTATACAATCATCATATCGTCGTTTGTCTTGACTGTAAAGGCCTTACCGTGGTCGTTTAATTCAGCACCAGTGCTAGCATCAGCTTGGGAAACTGAGGTCGTAGTGGAAAGATTAGGCAGCAGATTAAAAACATCCTGAAGTTTGCCCAAAATAACATGATTCACAGGCAGTTCGCCATCAAGCACCCGCTGTAGATACACAGCAATGTCCCGGATCCGGTGGTGAAGACCCTGGAGCGATTGGAGCTGGTTGGTGATACGCAGCGACAGAGAACCAGCAGCAGCATCACGAATGTCACGCAATAGGTGTTCGACACCAATTTCCTCAGCTTCTTCAGCCTCAATCGATGATGGAATATGCACAAATGTGCGTTCCGCCGAAGTACCATCGTCCTTAATTTCCTCAATGGCAATGTATGCATCAGTAGGAATTCCCACAGTCTTGGGTTGCACATCCACAATGAGCAGAAGTGGATTGGGTGTATACTTCTTGAATAATTCATTAATCTCAAGATCAGATCCACGCAGCTTAGGACCACTATGGTACCATCCAATGAGCTTCTCCTTGGCGTTAACTTTCTTAAACATGTCGCTCATAGCTTCAACGTAGTTGTGGTCCAAAAACCACACCGACGACTTCTTGTCATCCTCTTCAAATGGAACTGCAAAACTATTGGTCACCTTGACGGTCGACCCGCGAACGTCACCAAGAAGAACACCGAGCACGCGCTTCTTTGTGTCTTTGACGCTGCGGTTGTAGTGGTCCACCACCGACAGGAGAACCAGGGGGGCTACTGTGACATTTTTGTTTGAAAGTTGCGTTAATTCCGCAGACATTTTTTAACTGTTAAAATGAAGGGTATATATTAAACTAAAAGAGATGGGTATTCAAAGATTCAAATAATCTCTGAGTTTGTTTGTTTGTTTGACAATGGAGTGTTTTTGTGGAGATTTGCAAAAAGTTGCAAAGTTTTGGGTGGCGGCGGTAGCGTTGGCGGTTGGCAATTTCAGCGGTCTGAAATGTGCTGTGTGTGTATAAAATAGTCTAGTCACGTGAATATATTGACGACATGCTCGGAGTCGACGTTGAATTGACATTGAAAAGACATTAATAGAATAAAAATATTCTAAAAAAAGCTAAATTTCATTTAAATATATTTAACTATTAAAACATGATCCTTTCATATAAAATTAAAACCATTCTAAGATCATTGAAAATATCCTAAATTTCAAATTTCAAAAAAATTCGCTTCAAATTCTCAAATGATCACGTGACTGATTCACATAAAACCTTTTCCAAGTGCTTTTTCCGCCACCGCTCAAATCTCACAACTTCAACATTACACTGATGCCTTTTGGTCAACTCGTCATCGGCCCACCAGGGTCTGGAAAGTCTACCTACTGTAACGGTATGCAACAGTTTTTATCAGCTATTGGTAGAAAGACATCTGTTATAAACCTTGATCCAGCAAACGACCGTATATCATACCCATGTGCACTGGATATTCGCGACTTTACACGACTGGAAGATATCATGTCTGAACTCAACCTTGGTCCTAATGGCGGTATCATGTATGCTTTGGAAGAGGTTGAAAACTCATTAGATGATTTTGTTAATATGATTGAATCTCTTGGAAAGCAAGACTATTTGATTTTTGATTGCCCAGGCCAAGTCGAACTTTTTACTCATCATTCAGCCTTGCAACAGATCTTTAAAAAGCTCGAAAAAATGGATTACCGTTTAGCCGTAATTCACCTCGTCGATTCATATTATATCACATCTCCTTCTCAGTACATTTCTATTTTACTGTTAGCACTCCGCAGTATGCTTCAGCTCGATCTGCCTCACATCAATGTGCTTAGTAAAATCGATCTTTTAAAAAACTATGGTGAATTACCAATGAGTCTCGACTACTACACGGAAGTACAAGATCTATCATATATATTTCCACACATTGAAGCAGAACAAAAAACAGTTCTGGGGAAACGTTACGCCAAACTTACGGAAGCTATTGCGGAAATGGTCGAAGACTTTGGTCTGGTATCATTTGAAGTACTCGCTGTTGAAGACAAAAAGTCCATGATTCATCTCTTAACAGTTATTGACAAAGCTACAGGTTACATGTTTGGATCTACAGAGATTGGAGGCGACACTGTTTGGACTGAAGCCACACGCCAGGGCGGGTACTTAGGCATTGTGCAGGATATCCAAGAACGGTGGATCGACCACAAAGAAGAGTATGATGAGGCTGAGGAAGAAGAGCGTGAAGAACTTTTCAAGAAAGCTGAAGAAGAATCTCGACCGCTGACCGAGGAAGAAGAATGGGATGCTGCTTTAAAGCAGTGGGAAAAAGAAGGCGGGGCCAAGATGAAGAAATAAAAATAAATAGATTGTATATACCGAAAAATAGAATGAAAAAAAAAAATTAATAAAAAAAAGATTTAGTAATTAAGCGAGAAATTCCTCGACTTTTTTAATGGTTTCTTTGGCAGCAACATTGTCTTCCTCGTTATCCGATTCCTGTGTTTGTTAGCATGAACTTTTTAAGTGTATAAAATTTACTTACACCAGCTGCCTTTAAACCTTCAAGTGTTGACTGGATCTTTTTGCGGATCTCAGGGACCATCTTTTTAGTATCTTCTAAAACCTCAATCTAATCAGAGTTAGATGGATCATGGTATTTTAATTGTACAAACATACCTGCTTCTTAATCTCATATTCATCAGCTCCAGCTTCTCTCAGAGCCTGAATTCGAATCTCTTGTTCCTGGGCTTCTTGAAGATATAATCCTTCCTCTTTAACGAGACGATTAAGAGCGTTGATCTTGATTCTCAGTGGAGTCGGGGCCATTTTATGCGTATGTGTTGTTTTTGGTGTTTGTTGTCAAAAGATGGTGGTAAATAAATAAAGCGTCTCAAAAAAAAAAATGGCACGCCGCAAAATTACGTAATTTGAGTATGAAAAATCACCTACAAAATCTTTTTCTTATTCTTCCATCTTATTCTACAACCATAAACAATGTCTATTAACCCCGCAGATTACGTCAAAAGCTTTTCGATAGCGCTGATATCGGAGCTTAGTGAAAGTATAGCTCGCAAGCGCGAAATCGCGGTAACACGTCAAAATGAACTTCAACAAGCTCGCTCTCTTGCCGCCGCTAGCGAGATCCAATCCAAAAGCGAGCCTATTATTGTCCATCTTGGTGGCGATTATTATGCTTCGTTACCACCCCAAGAAGCTTTGGCATCTCTAGATCGCATGATATCAACTCATCAATCACACATTGATCGTTATGATAAACAGCTTGATTCTGCTCAACGCGCCACAGTTGATTTACAACGGATAGCTGACGAGGTTGAAGCTCAAGAAGAACAAGATCGTAAAGATCCACTACCGAAAACAGTCAGCGATGCCCTTTCCAGCGGTGCAATTGTTGATGCTATTGGAGATGATCCATTTATGACCGAAGATGGTCTTCCCATTATGGAGATTGTTGAAGAGTTAGATGATGATGATAACATTACATGTGAGTGCTTATTATTATTATGAGAGATTAGAAAACTTACTAATTTTATTAGCAACGCAAGTGCGCCCCCAGAAATCGCTCGAACTGGCTCAGTTCGCTAATGATAAGCTTGCTAGTTTACTAGAAAACCGTGACGATTTGTTACTAGGAAGCCAACAGCAACAACCCAATGCTGAGATGATAGAGGGTAAGGTAGTTTTTGGCCCTGTTAAACCCGATTGGATGATAGAAGGCAAAGAAAATCCATATGCTCGACGTCGAATTAAAGCTGGAGTTCCCGGTAAAAGCCAAGTGGCTGATAAACCGGCTAAAAGTATAGAGCTTACAAAAGATCAACCACAAGTTGAAGTCCCAGTCAAAGACACCTTCAAAGCTTTAGTCGAACCCCCTATTAAACCAGCCGAGTCATCTGAAAGTGACGCAGAAACAGATTTATCTGCAGCAGAAACAGATTCGTCAGTTAGTCAAGCTCCTGATGACGTGCCCTACAATGCCGAAGAAGCAGCCATTCCTAGATCGGATCTACTTGAGCTCGAAATTATTGCCAACGATCTTGATGATGAATCTGATTTTGATGGTGGAGATGTGCAAATTTACGATGATAACGAACATGACTATGACAACGACGATGACGAGGAAGATGAAGATGAAGATGAAGACGAGTTTGGTAGAACTAGAGGCACTCTTTTCCCCATGTCTATGGCCACACGTATTCAAGAAGAACTAAACAGAGTTCGTGGCCAGACTACTACGGTTGAGACTACCAAAGATATTGAGGTCTCTGGAGAAGAAGAAGAAGTTGAAGAAACTCATGAAAAGAAGAAGGAGGTACGGTTCAGCGAGGTTATTTCTGTTAAGCGCTTTGATAAGAACCCACCAAAAAAGAAGCCTGCACATTCTTCTGGTATGATTTCGACGCAAACCAACTTTGAACCTCTCAACGATGCTGACACTTTTGAGACTGATGCACCTACTCATCCTCGCATTGTGCCTCGTGTTACTCCCAGAGCAGCCATTGTTACGCGCACTGGGCCTCCGGCACCAACTTCTTCTATTTACACGGCCTCGCGAACTCAGCCTTCTATTGTGCAAGCGCGTATAGGTCCCCAACCACCAAAGAAACCGGTACATGCAAATACAACTACAACTACTACCAGTGATTCGGAAAAACCCGCACGGGTGTCGCGGTTCAAGAGTGAGCGAGCCGCCGCGGGTATCAATTTTTTTCCCAAGCCGCACATTCCTGATCCGGCGGCTACAGCTGCTGCACTAGCTGTTGCAGCAAAACCTAAAAAGTCAGACACTTCGTTTTCACCTGTAAGCTTTACAGTCATTGAACGTGAACCTACTATTGTTGAAAGACATAAAAGTGAACCTAGCGAGTTAAATCTCAGTTTGAAAAAAACATTACAAACTGCCGACCACAAGGGGACTTTAAAGCATTTGCAAGTGGAAGAAAAAAAAGCTGCTGCCACAAAAGCGAAACCTCTAAACAAGGCTCCTAGTACGTTAAAGACATTTTCGAATGCACAGATAGTGAAGACTGCCGCTGCTAAGGCTGAGCCTCTTAAACCTGCACCTAAAACATCAGTTGTTAAAACTGCAACTCTCAAAACTTCTCCAACAAAATCATCATCTATAAAGAATTCTTCTCCTAAAGTTTTGCAGACAACCATTACTCCTGCTAAGACCACTCCAGTTGCCCCTAAAGTCCCATCAGGGCCTTCTAAGTCGAATGCCCCCAATGGAAAGTTCCAACCACTTCCTCCAAAAGCGCGTGCGCCAGCTCGTGAAGTTCCGGCTGCCAAACCACCGGCTGCCAAAGTACCGGCTGCTAAATCACCGGCTGCCAAAGTACCGGCTTTAAAGAAAAATACTACACCAGTACCCATTGTTTCAGATCCCAAAGACATTCCCAAGAAAGTATCAAGGTTTAAGGCGCAAGCCAGCAAAAACAGACCGCCTCAGTTTCCTGTTTCTAGTCGTATCGAAGAGCTTGAATCTAAAGTTATAGAAGACAAGATTGTGGAGAAAGAGATTCAGGAAGTTGTGGAAGAGAAAAAATCCCAAGAAAAGCCTAAAGTTGTTGTGGAAGAAAATTCACAACAGATAGAAGATACCGAGGATGGCATATATAGCCGTTATCAAGAAGCTTCTGGATCTGTAATCAATCCCGCTTTAATTAATGGGTTACGGTCAATTATTCCAGCAGAAGTATTGAAAAAGGCCAATGAATACTACAAAGAATCGTTGATGACGGAAGAAGACTTCATCAAGGCACATCTTGGAGAGCAGACCAAAGAAGAAGAGGAAAAGATGAAAGAGCAAACAGAGAAAGAAGAAAAAAAGCGAAAAGAAGAAGAAAAAAAGGAAAAAGCACGTCCAGTATTGGCGCAGACTCTTGTTGAGCGAGAAACTGCGCCCGAAATTGATGCACGAGGCATGGGCTATCTTCCTGACCACTTGATAAAAGCTAAAAAGAATGGTGTTGCCAAGAATGATGATAAAGAAGATGAAGATGATATTGATTACGATGACGAAGAGGATGAGGATGATGGTGATGATGATGATGATGATGATGATGATGATAACCAAACCTATTCAGTGAGCCGGCGAGAACTCATGGAAGAATACCAAAAGGCACGACAGTCGCTCATTTACTCGACCGGTGGATTTGGCAAAACACCTGAAGAATTAGAGATAGAGCCTGTTGAAGAGGAAGAGGCTCTTGGGGCAAGGAAAATGAGCCGTTTTAAAATGGCACGTTTGTCTAACCGCAGATTTTAGAAAATAGAATAACTTTGAGATATTGAACTGAACTTTTTTTTTTTTTTTTTTGGAGAACATTTGCACAGAATGATAGAAAGATAAACTATCATTCCGAGTAATGAATGACCTTTGTGGTTTATAATCTCCTAGATTGATATGAAGGTTTCTGGCTTGTGAAGACAGAGCATGGCTCTAATATATTTTCCCTTTTCAAGGCTCGTTTCCCTTTATACATTTTTTTCTAAAAAAAATATATATTTTTAATTCAAAGATCATTTTGATTTTAAATTAAGAAAAAAAAAACAGGTGTCTATTTGGAATATATATATACCAGTTTTCACATTATTCAAAATGTTACATGTTTCTTTACAACCTCATGAATCCAAGAGGGGGACTACCTCACATTTATGTGACCGGCAAATAATGAGATTTTAATCTCAAGCCCTCATCTTTGACCAGATAGGTTTTCGTTTTAAGTGGTGATACAAAAGCATATATTACGTAGGGATAAGGGTTGACATGGGTGTAGATTAGAAAAATCACTCCTGAATTATTAAAACTTCAAGAGAACTAGAGGGTTAGGTGAAAATATTTTGTTAAACTCTTCTTTCAAAAACAATTTTTTTTTATAACTTACTATTCTACTACAAACATCTTTTTTCAGGTAGATCTACACTAATATTTTCTGATCTCGGCCCATAGTCAACCGATGTTTGTGGTAGTCAATATGTGGATTTACAAAAAAAAAAATAGCTAATCAGAGAAACTGTTATATATTGTATTATTCTATCAAATATTTGCATCAGTGTTATTTTCCGGTCCAAACTTATGAAGCTTGAAACCTTTCCCACCCCATGTTCCATTGCGTTCCTTTTCTGAGGCCCATTCTGTAACCTCACGCGTAAAAACCTTGCCAGGGTTAAGCAATTCATACGGATCCAAAGCCATCTTAATGGTATGCATAACGTTAATAACGTCGGTTCCAAGTTCATCTGCAAGATACTTGACTTTGCCCATGCCAATGCCATGCTCGCCTGTGCAGGTTCCTTCAAGAGCAAGGCCACGGTAATTGACATTCTCAGCAATTTTCTTTGCAACCTCAGCATCCTCCGGTGTGTCACTATAAATGACACTTGCGTGAAAGTTACCATCACCGACATGGCCGAGCGAAGATCCAAAAGCAACGCCAGAATCTTTAAGGTCCTTTTTGGTGGCTTCGATAAGATCTGCAAGCTTAGACATTGGCACAGCCACATCTGTAGTGTAGATTTTAGCGTCCTTAGGACCGAGGGCCATAGAAGACCAAAGAGCCTCTTTGCGAGCCGCCCAAATTTGTTGTGCTTCGGCATCGTTGCGAGCAAAATCAAAAGAAGAGGACTGGTATTTTGATGCGACCTGGCGAGCCTTTTCAATCTGTTCATCGACAAATGCATTTGAACCGGAAAATTTAAAAAGAAGAGTAGCTTGTTCCTTCCATTTACGCTCAGTGGAGTTTGACTTGTTAATAGCCCACATTTGAACGTCATCCATAAGTTCGACACAGTGAACTGGGATGCCAGCACGGATAATTCCAATGGCAGCACTGGTAGCCAAGCGCTCAGATGGGAAAGTAGATAATGCAACTGTAGTGCGATCAGGAACAACAGCTAGTTTGACTGTGATTTCAGTGATAAGACCAAGGGTTCCTTCAGATCCTGCAAACAAGTGGTTTAAATTATACCCCGCAGATGTTTTGCGGGGTCTACCGCGTGTTTTGATGATAGTACCATCTGCCAAAACAACAGTGAGGTTGACAATGTGATCACGCATGGGTCCGTAGCGAACGCAATTTGTACCAGAACAAGAAGTCGAAACCATGCCGCCAATTTTGGCAATTGGACCAGGGTCGACTGGGAAAAACAAATCAATGCCTTGGGATTTTAAATGTTGGTTTAGGTCCATCCAGCCTACACCAGGTTGAACAGTAGCGTCAAGATCATCGGGTCGAATAGCAAGAATTGCACTCATATGTGAAAAGTCAATGCAGATACCGCCGTGAGGAGCTGAAAAGTTGCCTTCAAGAGAAGATCCACCTGAAAAGCCAATCATGGGGAGTCTATACTTGTGGCAGATTTTGGCAATGCGAGAGACTTCTTCAGTGGATTCTGGATAAACTATGGCAATGGGGTTACGTTCAATGTTGATGGTAGACCATTCAGAATATCCGTGGCGTTTGAGCTCTTCGGGGTCAGTAGATACTCGGTCGTTGAGAAATTCTTGAAATTCTGGGAATGCTTGCGCAAGCTCAGCAGCACCGCCGTACTTTCTAACAGGCCAGAACTTATTTATTGATTCTGGACGGAGTACGCTTTCATCTCGAAACGCTGATTTTGCATAATAGTATGTTGCTGCTGAAGCTGCAGCTGCTGAAACTAGAGAAAAAATGAAAGTTGAAGATGACGGGAAAGATTGTTTGGTAGTCGATGTTTGTTTGATAGTGTTTCTGCGAGCTGAGACAGAAAAGAACCGAGTTAGATGGCCTTTTGGTGGTGCTCTAGTGAGCCATCTGAGCTTTTGAAAATCCATTTTTTTGTTGATTTGAAGTAAAAATTGAAAATTGAAAAATGAAAAATGAAAAATGAAAAATGAAAAAAAAAAAAAAAAGGAAAACAAGATGAGAAAGGATTCACTATTTATGCAAAATTTCAATCTCATCAGTTTAACTGGATCATAAAAGTGATCGGGTTGCCCGAATAAGAACCTTCGGATCGGCTTTGAAAGGCATTTTTTGGTCTTTTGGAAGCCCCCCACAGGTTTATAATGTGTTGAATATTCATTATATCGCCATATCTCGTGAAATGGTGAGGGCAACCCGGTTTTTTTCTGTCTGAGTTCTAATGATCATCAAGCTTATAAGGCTGACCGGGACTTTTGGTGGGGGGTTTCCACATTTGTTCCAATACCTTGAATTTAATAATAATTTAATACAATTTTAATATAAACTCATCATTACATAATCATATTAATCCAATTAAGCCGTTCTCTCTATCAAGTGGTACCCGCTAGATGTTTCAACAACATGGCTGACCTCGCCGGGTTTGAGGGCAAAAGCAGCATCTTCAAACTCTTTTTGCATGACTCCACGCTCAAAGTAGCCGAGATCACCGCCCTTGCGAGCGCTAGAGCAATCAGATTCCTTTGTAGCGATTTCACCAAGAGACATTGCACCCGAACGAATCCGGGCTTCATGGCCTAACAGAGTAGACAAGGCCTCTTCCTTTGTTCGAGTGATTTCCTTTTCTTTCCAAGATGATGGTCTACGAGAATCCTTGTGCTTGATGAGTAAGTGGCTTGCACGAATCTTCTCGCCATTTGTTGATGGCGGGGCAGGAGGGACCGAAGCTTTGGAGTGGTACTTAGACATGTACGTCTTGAGTTTCTCTGTGTCAGTGTTGGCGGGGGGTTCCCACAGCGACTCTCCTGTGGCCGGGTTGTGATAGTACGGCAGGTTGCGCGACCGCGACTGTCTGATTTCCCAGCCTTCAGGAAGACCAGATTCTGAGATTGGTGGAACAGGGGACGACTGTTAAAAGGTCAGATATTTGTTTCAAGGAGAATTGAGTTAATATGAACATACCATTTTTTTTTAGGACAGGTGTGTAGTTATAGTTAGAGTGGATTGGGTACTGATGGTGATTATGATGGCGTGAAGAAGAAAAAAGAATAGGTTTAGAAGAGAGAGACAAAAGGAGGAGAGAAAAAAAAAAAAAAAAAAAACGGTGGCACAAAAGTGGGCCTTAAGTTTGACGTGGTAAAGCATACTATCACGTGTGTGTTTATATTTTAAGTATCATATATTAAATTGTAAGTGTTAAGTATCAAGTATTATGTTATAAATAGTATTTAATATTATGTAATTTTTAATTATAATTAATTGTTACGTAATTTTATTAACGTTAATTTTAATTTTTGTTGGCCATTTAAAATCTCCTTTTTTTTTTTCTCTACACTTTTTTTTTTTTTTCACCACCACAACTAACCTCCCCCTCCTTAAAATATTTAAAAAAAAAAATTTGCCAGCTGTAGACTTGCAAAAGTATTAAAAACTACACTGTACTTTCTTCACTGGTAATCCATACATAGTAAAACAAACATTTTCTTCTTATTTCTTATTATCAAGTAAAACTTTTTTTTTTTTTCTATTTGTACAAAACTCTCATGTCGCAAGACGAGATCGAGGCCATTCGGCAGGACTATCTCACGTCGCTGCAGGACCTAACATCCAACTCGCGACCCATTATCTCTACCCTCACAATCATTGCCCAGGAAAACATACATGCGGCCAAAGCAATCACTAAAACTATTGAGGAGCATATATCTAAGGTACGTCTGAGAGTTCAAACGTTGTATAGTTTTATTATTATCATTATTATTATTATTATTATTATATTTTTTTTTTATTTTTTACAGCTAACTTTTTTTTGGCTTTCAGTGTTCACCCCAAAATAAACTCTATGGGCTTTATCTGCTAGACTCCATTTGTAAAAATGTTGGCAAGCCATACACAATCTACTTTGGCTTAAATCTATACATGGTATTTTGTGATGCATATACTCTTGTCAATGATTCTATTAGACGCAAAATGTATGAGCTGTTTCTGACTTGGAAACAACCCACTGCTAATGGAACACTTTTGTTTGACTCGGTGCCTATGAATAAGCTTGAAGCGTTTTTGAACAAGGCACAGGGAATTAAACCACATTTACCAGCGATGCCTCAGCAGCAACAACAACAGCAACAACAACAACAACAGCAACAACAACAACAACAACAACAACAACAACAACAACAACAACAACAACAACAACAACAACAACAACAACAACAACAACAACAACAACAACAACAACAACTACTACTACTACCAGCTGGTTCCGATAAAGACCGGGAAATGTACCGTCAAATGAAGGCGTTTTCTGCCGATATTCCCATGTCACAAAAAGACCTGCTACAGCATATTGAAAGCCTGTTACATTTGGCTGAACAACGTCGCATTACAGATCCTTCAGATGAAAACACGCCAATGCAAATCAACATTTTGAATCAACTTAAGGATCAACTAGCCAACAAGGTATTCCAAGCAGATGTTTTGGGAATGATTCAGAAACAATTAGCTTCGTATACAAGTGAAGAACTAGAGCGGTTCAAACGTGAAGAACCAGCACAGCAGGCTGCATTATCTAAACCAATTCCTACAGGACCCGCATCGGGTTCTCCGACTCAGGCACAACAGCTACTACAGCATCAGCATCAATTGCAACTACAGCTACAACTACAGCAACAACAATCAGCATTAAATCGCAAAAACAAACGACAAAAAGTGAAAAATTCACCGCAAAGCCAAAACCAACAACTCAACTTGACACCTGAACAGCTGCAACAACTGCAGCAAATTGTGTCCATGTCGAATCAACAACAACAACAGCAGCAGCAGCAACCACAGTATAATATGATGCATCAGCAGCAAGTGTATCCAAACGCTGCAAGCACACTAATGGGTAGCAATTCTTACCTGATGAATGATATGTATAACCAGCAGTCTTTGCCTCTGCAGCAGCAGCTGCAGCAGCAGCAGCAGCTCCCACCACCGCAACAGCAGTATGCGCCCAATTACGATCTGCTGTCTGCATTACAGGGAATTGCCAACATCCAGGCAGCGGCAGCAGCGGCGGCTGCTGCCAATGTAGTTGCGCCTGCACCTATTCCGCCGAAACCGTATGTGACGCAGCCATATGGCGCGCAAACTGGGCGGGCTGGTTTACGGGGGAACCATGCCGCGCGAATGTACAGCACACCGATTCCCACAGGGCCTGCAGGCCAAACGGGTGCATTGCCCTATGGTGTGGGGGCCTCTCCAGGATCTCTTGGAGGCAATGGAGTAAGCAATGGAGGAGTGGGAACAGGAACAGGAACAGGAAGTAATGGCAGTGCTAATGGGGCGGGCAAGAAAAGTGGGGAATTGAGTGCATTGTTGCAGACAGTAGAGTTGACGGAAGAGTCTCTGAACAAGCCTCGAGGAGATTTGATTGGGTTGTTGTACAGTAGTATGCCAAAACGGTGCAGTACGTGCGGGAAACGGTTCCCGGACACAGTTGAAGGTCGGAAAGTGCGAGAAGCACATTCGGACTGGCATTTCCGGGTGAATAAAAAGCTACGGGACGAGAATTGGACACAAGTGCGGTCGTGGTTTTTGACAGAAGAGGAGTGGATCAAGTATAAAGATGAGAGCGAGACTCAAGTTGCACTAATTGTGCCCATGACTGCAACTGTTGCAGGAACCGCAATTGGCGCGCTGAGTAGTCGGAATCGAGGACGGGCCCGTGCCCGTGGTAAGAATAAAAACCGAGCTGATGGTGGAGATTTTTCTCCTACTTCTACTACTGTTGGAGGGTCTACAAATGTTAGTTTGGTTGGGTCTAAGCCGTCTTTAGGATCCAATTCTTCTTCTTCTTCTTCTTCTTCTTCTTCTTCTTCTTCTTCTTCTTCTTCTTCTTCTTCTTCTTCTTCTTCACTCGGAACTACCAACCAACGAGGAGGAAAGACGGGTGCGCAGGACGTACCTTCTCTTGCGAAACTGACACCTGCTCAATTACAGGCCAAGTACGTTCTTGTTCCTGGAGACAAGTCAGTTGTGGCGCAAGGATGTGGTATCTGCCGGGAGAAGTTCAAAACCTCATTTAATGCTGATGCTGAGGACTGGGTGTGGCGTAACGCAGTTCACATTTTGGGTCGGTACTTCCACGCGACTTGTTTTGCAGAGGCGGAACGCGGTGGTGGGAATGATTTTCTGAAGCGGGTAGGTGAAGGACCCTCATCATCATCATCGTCGACGTCGTCGTCATCGTCATCGTCGTCGTCGTCATCATCATCATCATCGTCATCATCATCATCTGGTCAGCCTTTGGCTCAAGATTCGGCACCGGTTTCGGCACTAACTGCAGCACCACCCAATCTTCCTTCCGCACCTACCGCGGTTACTAGTGGAAGTGCAACAACATCTTCTTCTTCTTCTTCCTCTGCGCCCATACTTGACCTTCCTGGAGGAATTGACTTGACGGCAATTTTAGCCTCCGTTAAGCGGAAACGCGAGGAAACCGAGTAATTCCAGTAACTTGACAAGAAGAAATAAATAAACCATTTTTAAAGAGAATAAAAATAGAATAAAAAAATAAAAAAATAAAAAACCGTGAATAAAGAAATCATTTTTTTTTTTAGAAAAATCATCAAAACATTATTTTTTTTATAGACAAACAACTGTACAATTAATATATTTATTTGGCATTCTCAAAGCACTTGAGGATGGATTGCCAAACAACCTTGGGGTCTTGGGCAGCATCGACACCAGCCCAGATGCCAGTCTTCTTGTAGTAAGAGACGACAGGGGCGGTCTGAGCGTGGTAAGTGACAAGACGCTTCTTAAGAGCATCGGCATTGTCATCAGAACGCTGGACGAGGGGCTCGCCAGTGATATCATCCTTCATGTCCTCCTTGGGGGGGTTGAAAAGACGGTGGTAAGATCTGCCAGAAGCAGGGTGGACGAGACGGCCAGTGATACGGGCAACAAGCAGGTCATCCTCAATCTGGAGTTCGACAGCCTTTTGGAGGGGAGTCTTACGCTCCTCAAGCATGGTATCAAGGCGCTCGGCCTGGGGGATAGTACGGGGGAAACCATCAAGGATAAAACCGTTCTTGCACTCGGCATTGTTTTCAAGCTCGTTCTTAATCATATTAACCATGATTTCATCAGAAACAAGGCCACCCTGGTCCATAATCTTCTTGGCCTCAACACCAAGAGCAGTCTTTTGGGCAACCTGAGAGCGCAGCATATCACCGGTAGCAAGGTGGCATGCACAGAACTTCTCCTTGAGGTTAGGGGCCTGAGTACCCTTACCGGCACCGGGGGGGCCAATGAGGACCATGCGGATAGACTTAGGGACTTGAGCGGCGGGGTGGAAAAGGGCGTCGGCCTTTTCCTTAAGCTGGGACTCGAGCGAAGAGACCTTAGCCTCGAGGTCAGCGATGATCTTCTTGAGTTCTTCTGGTTGAGACATTGTGGATATATGGATTTAAGGATTAATTGATTAAGAATAGAGAGAGAGAGAGAGAGAGAGAGAGAGAGAGAGAGAGAGAGAGAGAGAGAGAAAGAAAAGAATTAAATATAAAAAAAAAAAAAAAGGAAAAAAAATTTTCTGGGGCAAAAATGGGCGGGAAAGGCGGAGGTTTTAAGTATTTTTTTTTTTTTTTTGGTTTGGTTTGGATAGGTTGGTGGTGGTGGTGGGGGATTGATGGATGGTGATGGATGGATGGAGGGGTTGTAAGGAAAAGACAAAAGAAAAGATTTTAAAAAAAAAAAAAAAATGAAAGAATTAAAAAATGTAGCCAATAAAAAGATGCCATTCTTTCCAGTGAAAATTCAAAAGAGTATTATAGACACACGGCCAAAATTTACATCATACCAATTGGTAAGTTTAATATATATTAAGTAATATTGAAAGTTACTGTAATATTTCGGTGTAATGGAAGAACTAAAGATACCCGGACGGCATTAATATATCCGCGGATCTATATTATGTAATCTAGTAAAGATTACTAATAATAACAGCCGCATAGACCTGCCTCAAGTTTAGATTTTTCCACGGCTGGAAAAAAAAAAATTAAAATAAAATAAAATAAAATAAAATAAAATAAAAACAAATTTGCCTTGTGAAAATTTTATTTGCCGCGCACACACAAACACAAAAAAAACCCGACCCGGAACATTTTGATACCCCAACGACTTTATATACCAGTCAATAAAATATATATTTAATATATATTTATATATATATAAAAAAAATGGCTTCAACTAAAGATACCCAGGTCGGTGCTTCGGGTCCTGCCTTGGCCACAGATGCCGTTCTCAAACCTTCAGTCGCTCTTGACGATGCCATTGAAGTCTCTGGAGTTGATTTTGATAAATACTCAAAGGATAAGCCCATTTCAGCAGCCGATCTTGTTGCTGGAATGAAGAACATGGGATTCCAGGCCACCAACCTTGGTGTTGCTTGCGATATTATCAACGAGATGCGTGCATGGGAAGGCACACATCCAGATACCGGCGAGAAGCAAAAGACTACCATTTTCCTCGGATATACTTCCAACCTCATTTCGTCGGGTCTCCGTGAAACCCTCAAGTACTTAGTCAAGCACAAAATGGTTTCAGCCATCGTCACAACCGCCGGCGGTATCGAAGAAGACTTTATCAAATGTCTAGCTAAAACCTATGTCGGTGACTTTGCCCTTCCTGGTGCCGAGCTTCGTGACAAGGGTCTCAACCGTATCGGCAACTTGCTGGTGCCCAACGACAACTACGTCAAGTTTGAAGAGTGGATCATCCCCATCTATGACCAAATGCTGAAGGAACAAGAGGAAGCTGCAGAAAAGCGTCTGGGTGCCGGCTGCGATGTTAACGATGCTGAGTCGCCGGCTTGGTGGACGCCCTCAAAGCTCATTGCACGGCTCGGTAAGGAAATCAATGACGAAGATTCAGTCTATTACTGGGCCTGGAAAAACGACATTCCTGTTTTTTGCCCTGCCATCACAGACGGTTCTCTCGGTGATATGCTCTTCTTCCATACTTACAAGGCCTCTCCACGCCAGCTACGTCTCGACATTGTAGCCGATATTCGTAAAATCAATTCTCTTGCCATGACAGCTCCACGCGCTGGTATGATTATTCTTGGCGGTGGTATCATTAAGCACCACATTTGCAACGCGTGTCTCATGCGCAACGGTGCAGACTACGCCGTCTATATCAACACTGGTCAGGAGTTTGACGGCAGTGATGCTGGTGCTAGACCTGACGAAGCCGTCTCATGGGGGAAGATTCGTGCAGATGCAAAGAAAATTAAAATCTATGCCGATGTTACTCTCGTCTTCCCATTGATTGTAGCTGCAACTTTTGCAAGCGGCAATTGATAAATGGATTTCTCTTTAAAAAAAAAAAAAAAAAAAAAAAAAAAAACCGTTATACGTTTATAAGCATTTTACGAAATAGTCATTGAAAAAAAAATTACACATAAAATAGTAAAATAGCTACCATTAGAAAACATTTAGTAAATTAACGGTACAAACGGCAACCTAAGAATTTTTTATTTAACAGTCTCTTTGGAAAAAAAAAAAAAACCCGATCACTTAATAGGTAGTTCACTTTAGTTACAATTGAAACAGAAAAAAATCAGAAGCACTCAAAAAAAAAAAAAAAAATTTGTTAAGGCAAGTAAATACACAACAAAAAATAATTGCATGATCCGACCCGGGATCGAACCGGGGACCTTCTGCGTGTAAAGCAGACATCCTAACCGACTAGACCATCGGACCACTTTCTTGTTGTTACTTAGCATAATACTATAATTAAATCAACAAAATAAGAATTCAAAAAATTAGAAGACTTTGTTTTTTATTATATTTGGTATTTAACAATTTTATTTCTTTGTATACTGGCTGAAAGACTTATTTTTGTGCTGTTCTAGATGCAATGTTGAAGTAAAATTAAAAGTTCATTATGAAAACGAAAAGATATATAGTAAAAGCTAAAATAATGGGCGCAGATACTGACGTTATATAATTCTATAAATCTTGAATGAAAAAGAAATTAACAAACAAACAATTTCTGAAAAAAATCTGATTGAAAATCCAAGGAAAAAAAAAAGGAAAATGAGTTTTTTTTAATCAACAAGATATGTTTGGGCAATTAGGGAACCTTTGTTCGGAGTGACATTTTGCTTTTTTAAAATATACTTTTCTAAAATAAAGCCAAAAAATTAAAAAAAAAAATATGGTATTTCTAAAATTATATGAATTTTTTTTAATGCTAATTTACACACAAGATGCGGGAAAAATCAGGGACCCCCATACTAAAATACACACAAAGAATATTACGTAACATATAGTAAATCCAACTTGCTTTCTTCTTAAAAGAGAACCGATTAAAAATGGTGTAAACTTTCAATATTCCACAAGGGCAAGGGTTATAAGACTTTTCTAAACCACCTTTTTTCTTATTTTTTCTATATTTTCAAAAGTCCAATTTTTACAGAAAATGGTGCAAAATCTTAAGCAAAACTTATAGCGTTATTTTTTTCTTTGAATTTTTTTTTATAATTAAAGATTATAAAAGAATGAAAGACTTTTAATTTACCAAGTGTGTAAAAAAAAAGGTATTTTATTCAAAAGTCCATTATTCTTTAAACTTTTGGTTATATACACTTGGTTTTTTCGATTTTACTTCTACCACCTAACAAACCATTATAAATTAACATATTAGTGTAGTAGAAATATTTTAAAATTATATATTGAAGATCGATATAGTCAAGTTTTATTAATGATAAATACATGTATTTATCATAACTTTACAGTTAAAAAGAAGTAATTGTGAAATAACTCTTGAAAATTTTAAAATTTTAAATTTTTAAACCCACTAAACACTGTTAATTTGAAGTATATATTGTAAATTATAGTCGTCATAACTATTAAAAATGAAATCGAAATAACAATTTAACCAACTTTTTATACGGAAACTTCTATTATATTTGTTTTTTTACCAAGTAGTTTTGTCAAGATACAAGATATCGTTTTAATTTTTGTTTAATTTTTTTTTACACCACCAACAAACGACTAATCCCACGCATTACCACCCCAAAATTAGCTTACATAATCTTCCAACGTTAACAATTTTTTAGGCACTTAGGACCACTGTAAAAGATTGTCAACCTAACATGCCAAAACACAACCATCATAACAAAATGATATTCTTATCTGAAAAAAATTGCCAAAAATTATTTAAAAAAATACATTTTAAATACAAAAAATTGATTCGACCCAGGATCGAACTGGGGACGTTCTGCGTGTTAAGCAGATGCCATAACCGACTAGACCATCGAACCATAAATCATATCTAGAACACCTTATATTGCATACATAAAGGGCACTATGTTTTAATTACCATAGTGAATAGCAGTAGAATATAAAATAATGGCATCAGGACTTATTTTCGGGCTGTTGGAGATGCAATGTTGAAGCCAAAATTAAAAGTTTAATATGAAAACGAAAAGATATATAGAATAAACAAGAAGGATAGCACAGATGCTGATGTTATATAATTCTATAACCCTTGAATAAAAACAAACAAACAAACAAGAATATAAAATAATGGCATCAGGACTTATTTTCGGGCTGTTGGAGATGCAATGTTGAAGCCAAAATTAAAAGTTTAATATGAAAACGAAAAGATATATAGAATAAACAAGAAGGATAGCACAGATGCTGATGTTATATATAATTCTATAACCCTTGAATAAAAACAAACAAACAAATATATGCAAAATTTAAACAAAGAACATGTATTAAATCATTATTTTTACTTCATATATATATACTTAAGTTTTCACAATAATATTTTATTCTGGTATCAACATTTGTATTTTCTATACCCTTCAAATAGGCTCTGATATCTCGTTATAACGAGATAATTCTAAAATAAAAATAATTTCAAAAAAAAAAGTCTATTTTATTTATATTTATTTACTTTAAGAGAAATTAATTTTTTAATAAAAAAATTAGAAAAAAATGACATCATTTAATGTCTATTGCATACATCTATATCTAGTAATGACTGAAACTAATATCTTTGGGCGCCAAAGTTTTTATAGCCTGTGAAAAACTAAGTATTAATACTGAAATACCTAGGCTCGTTTTTTCGTTTTTTCGTTTAATTCTTTTTATTCAAGGGTTATAGAATTATATATAACATCAGCATCTGTGCTATCCTTCTTGTTTATTCTATATATCTTTTCGTTTTCATATTAAACTTTTAATTTTGGCTTCAACATTGCATCTCCAACAGCCCGAAAATAAGTCCTGATGCCATTATTTTATATTCTACTGCTATTCACTATGGTAATTAAAACATAGTGCCCTTTATGTATGCAATATAAGGTGTTCTAGATATGATTTATGGTTCGATGGTCTAGTCGGTTATGGCATCTGCTTAACACGCAGAACGTCCCCAGTTCGATCCTGGGTCGAATCATTTTTGCATATCTAATTATTTGATATTATTTTTTTTGTTTGAAAACTTGTTGTTTAGGAAATTTTCTTGTTTTTTTTTCATTTTTTGCAAAATCAATGTCGAATTGTGTTGGGGGGATGGAAGATGTTGAGAAACCTTATACACTTAGTGATTATATAAGCTTGCAGAGTCAATTTAAAAAAATAAAAAAAAATATTAGGTTCATGGTTTAGCGTATCACTGGCAAGGTAAGAAATTGAAAAAGTAGAAATAACAGTACAACAAAATAAAAATCTTCTGCTTTTTTTCAATGATTAAAAAATGTAGAGATCTCTTGTTACCAAAAAACTTTACAAATACAAAATCAGCTAAAAATATCTAAAATTATTAGGAAATTTTAACTAAAGGTTGATACACATTTTCTAAGGATGTTTGTTAAAAACATTTCATATTACAATATGTGTACATATCCCTGAACATTTTTGAGGTGTGGTATTATTGCTGTCACAATTAAACCTCAAGAAATTATAGTTAATAGGAAAAATACTACTAACTAATTTCATTGCTTAAAATTTTTTCTAAAATATACAAGAAGAAGGAACCAATGATTTTTTACAATTTTTTCATAGTAAAAACATTGAGGTAACCTAGGATACCTTTTTACTGAAACTGTTTTTAAAAGTGTGCAAAGAATTAAAATATATTTTAATACGTCCAAAATGAAAAATACAGATTATGGTTCCATCAATGTTATCAGAAATAATTTGGCTCTTCAATTGAAACATTTGAAGCTATTATTTATCTCATATAATAAATGTATAGGTGATTAATCCAAAGATAAGGTGGTATGTGGATAGACAGAAGTAAAACATCAGTTCAAAAAATATATACTAAAATTCCTCTAGACCTTACATTTTGACCTTCAATTTTATAAAATATATAATATGAAAGAATCAGAATAAAAAAATATAGTGATTTAAAGAAAGAAAAAAAAGAAAAAAAAAACTTTGAGAGACAGGCTTTTCAGTGGTTATATTAAAATTTAGCTACAATCCCAACCACAACAACAACCCTAATCCTAACCCTAATTTTGATCCTCATCACCAACCTGGACTAACAACCTACCAAATACTTGTCCATGATTCCCTTTTACAATTAGCATTTAAGCTTGACCGTAAGTAGTTGTGTATTTTCTCATTCTAAAATCTATTTATTATTATTAATTTTTTTAAAATAGTATTCAATATCTTCAATTTTAGAATGTTTATAAATAGTTTAAGACTTATACTTCAATGAAGAGTATGAACAATTATAATACTAGGCTAGCTTTCTAAGAATTATATTTTAGCATGTGACAAGTATGGATAGTTAAAAAAAACCCACAACAAGATCAATGATATATTGATTTTTTTAATTTATTAAAAAGATTTCCATAAAAAAAAGATTTATTTTCACTGAAGAAAATTGTAAGGAGGTATAAATAAAAGTGATTTCCCCCGTCTTTTTGATTCTTATTTCTTTTCTTTTACCATTAACTTTTCTCAAATTTTTTATTCTTTTTTATTTTTTACCTCTAGAAATATCACCAGGACCATATACTATCATTTACTACTATTAACTAGCATCTACTTTTATCGACTATAATCAGTTATCATTTACTATCATCTACTATCATCTACTATCAACTACTATCAACTACCATCATCTACTATCATCGACTACCATCTACTATCATCTACTGTCATCTACTGCTATCAACCATGATTGATAACTATTTCCCATACCACACTATTCATAAACACTTTCCCTCACATTTGTTCACTATTATACTTTCAACATGTTGCAGTCGTTTATTGGTAAGTCTTCTTATGTCAACATACCCAATGCACCCTATGCCTAAGTTATTGAT